CCTACCCATGTTTGGAGGTATACTAGAATCTTGGAACCAATATGGACTAAATAAGGACATGTAGATTCAAATTAAATGGTATCTGACTGAGTGTAGAAGTTTCCTTGCGGTTCCGAACGTTTATTGTTTTAAATTAATTGTACTATGCGACTCTATATTCTGTATGTATAAATAGCGATCCGATGTATCTGGAATACAAGTGATTTTGGGACGACGTTGCAGTGCTAATCCGTAAAAAGGAAAGACACACTCCCGCCAGACTGAAACCTCTTCGCTAGCAGCCATTCGGGCCCGGCACTTGTGAGTATAGGAACGTCGTGTTCTGCTCCTTGTGACTGCGAGAAGTCTATCCAGTTGTTGGGTATTCTTCGAACTTAGGATCAGTCGTTGGTCTTAAGGGCAAATCACGCTGTGTGGTTGTGCCAGCACATAGTTCTAGCCCTCCGAGGGGTCTGTGTGTTTCGGTTTTAATTTACTTTGATTCAAACCCCCAATTCTTGATATACCCAAATCAATACAAACCAAAGCACAAATCGTGCTGAATCTACCTTGATCAAAGGCATATATCGAATCCTTAGAACGATTCAAATTGATTAATCAAAGCTTCGTACTTAGCTCTCAAAGCTTTGCGGAACCTTTGCCAACGCTACCCCTTGCTATTAAATAAATTTGATAGCAGTGAACTCGCATATTGTGTATTAGATTGGTTGGTTGGAGTGCCCATTAGATTCCTTCCTTTCTCTTTCACACAAAAACGAGGCAAGCTCGTTATCGGGTACCTCGGACGAATCTCTTACGACTTTTGAGATTGGTAACTGCTTCAGTTGCGGTTGCATGATTCAGATTTCGTATAGCCAATACCGTTTCTTCCGATGCTTCTCTGACACGACTTTCAGGCATCCAGGCTCTAAGGATTCCTATAGCCATAGGGAGTTTGTCCATTTGTAACCGCTGCGCCACCCATTCAGGTGTGTTTGGTTCATATCTCACAGGTTTTTCCTCAGTTCGGGTTGTCATTGTAGATAAGTTATTTTTATTGGATGTACCAGTACTACCAAATTCAAAACTAAATTGACTGTCTACGTATGATGACGAAAAGTCCGATATTGATTCTGAGATTGGCCCCGGCAGACCTGCGTCTACTGCTGGGGCAGGACAAAACCCAATTCTTTGGCCATAGCCTCCTGATCCTCCTGTGTCATCCGGTTCCACATGCCTCTGACAAACTGCGGCTTCGGTGCTTTCTCTGGACAGAACTTCGCAATGTGGCCTTGCTTGCCACAATGGAAACATTCCTTGTTGCGACACGCAGCGTCGATGTCCATTGGTCTGCCTGCACCTTTGAAAGTTGTTCCAGTACCATCTTTCCTATCCTGGGTGGGTACCGCAGGGGTTGGAGCCTTAGTTGCGGGAGCCTGTGTCGTTTGTGGTTGCCATCTCTGGCTACTAGGTCCTTGCCCAGCATTCCGCTGGTATCTGCTTGACCAATTTCGTCGCATTTCCTCACAACGCCACCACATGTCGTCGATGCTGATAATCTTCTGTTTGAGTTCATCGAATTTTTCGATTCGCTCATTGCTGGTGCCGTACACTTGGTCGATCAGTTTCGGCTTTACGTTCATTTCGATCAGTCTGATAACGTAGGGAGCGTCCTTAGCATATCCAGCGTCTCTCATGATTACTTCAAATTCCTTGAAGAAATCCTCTGCCCTCTCATTGGGGCCCTGACGGAGATGTTCTAGCTTCTCCTGTGCGTTCTCTGTAAGTCCTTTGTCTAGGAAGGAGGCATTCAATGCGTCCTTGAATCCTTTCCAGGTGACTTTCCATTCCTCCTCGTCATCATTGAAATTATCGTCCGTATAATTCTGGACCCAGCTACTGACTTTGGGACCTCGCATATACGAGACCGCAATGTCAATTCTTTCACTGTCTGTAATGATCCTATTCCTTGGATCACGAATGTAGGCAAAGAGGGTACGACACCACTCTTTGAACTGCGCTTTGTTGCCATCAAAGATGCTAGGTTCTCTGAGCAAAGACTTGCCATGAATGTTGGAGGTAGTGGTGGTGGGAGCGGGAGTAGGGTTAGACATGCTGTAGTTGGGTGGTATGTAGGCAGGTATGAATGAGGTGATATTTCGTTCGATAGAAGATGAAGTGGATGGAGCAGATGAATCGGGGGTACGGTAACGATCGGTTTGTACCGAAAGTCTAGGTTGTCCTAGTCTTGAAGTAAAATCCGTTGTAAGGAAGACGAGTTACTAATGCAACCCGGTGGTGATGATGGGAAAATGTATGATTGGATTTGTAGAAGTCGAGAGTAGTGTGGGAGAGATTTCGAAAATAGAGTACGATGATGTGGGAAGCAGCCTTCCACTCTCGCTTGATGAACAGATGCACCCTCCCCGTCTAGGAATGGAGCTCGTTGTGCACGCGAAGACCCCTCTCCGAAGATTAGTGATCAGTCGACACTTTCGTCTGCCAGTACGGTGTCGGACTCAACGTTACACCTTTGTACTATAGGCGACACTGCTCGAATAGAGAGTAGAAGTCTGTGAAGGGTTGGTAAAAATGTGAGCGGGGATAATTGTGATAGGGATATGATTGCGTAGCGTGTGACAGGTGGTAAGAATAGCTTTGATCTTCTGTCAGCGACTGGTTCTAGTAACGGGTGTCACCAGGTGTCACACTCAAGAAAACCTCAAACAGTAAGGCGATAAAGGAAGTAAGCAAAGTTCTGGGCTAAACCAGGTAGAATAGACGAGATCAAAGCTAAGGAAATACAGCAAGTAGCTACAGCCTATATACTAGTGAACAACCCTCTGCCCTAGTAATGCCCAACGCCCTGGGTTAGTGGTAAACATGAGTAGAACATAAGTAAAGCAATGTGTAAGTAATGAAAGCTCGATCGCTATGCTGTATACGTGTTGTGAGACTGCTGTGTTTAATATAAGTAAATGAAAAGCGCATGTTGTATCAGTAAGCATAAATAATAGGTCAGGTGACAAGATAAGACAAGATATAGGATAAGGGAGATAGAAGATAAGACAAAAGATAAAAGATAAGACAAGGGATAAGGAGAAAGATAAGATGAAAAAGAAGTGATCGTAACAACCAAGGGTATTCTTATTGGACCTTACACTGGCAGGAGTTTGGAAGAACTTACTCAAGTGACCATGAGCCGAGGATTGACTCGAAATGACTTTCTAGAACTCAGGAATTATCAAATACTCCTTCTAGAATGAGATCATGCATTAATCTAAAAGACTGCGATTTAGTCTAATAGACCAATCAAGTTGCATGGTTGAGGAAAATGACTAGAAGAACGATCGAAGTACTGCGAGACTCCGAAGACATATCAAATGAATGTCAAAGAGTCCTGACAAAGAAAATATTGAAGAATGCAATTAAATGAATACTATGCGTAACTCCCTTGATAGAGTATAGGCACAATGGGTGTCTGTTGAAAGAGAGAAGCAATTAGTTTAATCCAGATGGATCAGATTGATAGGATTAGAATCGAGGAGAGCTGATTTGCCTCCGGACGAGGTGACAAATGATCGAAGTAAGTGTTGAACAGCAATGACAGTTGAACACCATTCGAGTCATTCTCTAAAAACAATTAAAATTAAATGAATATCGAAGTACCTACCTATGTTTGGAGGTATACTAGAATCTTGGAACCAATATGGGCCCAATAAGGACCTGTAGATTCAAATTAAATGGTATCTGACCAATTGTAGAAGTTTCCTTGTGGTTCCGAACGTTTATTGTATTAAATTAATTGTACTGTGTGATTCTATATTCTGTATGTATAAATAGCGATCCGATGTATCTGGAATAGAAGTGATTTTGGGACGACATTGCAGTGCTAATCCGTAAAAAGGAAAGACACACTCCCGCCAGACTGAAACCTCTTCGCTAGCAGCCATTCGGGCCCGGCACTTGTGAGTATAGGAACATCGTGTTCTGCTCCTTGTGACTGCGAGAAGTATATCCAGTTGTTGGGTATTCTTTGAACTTAGGATCAGTTGTTGGTCTTAAGGGCAAATCACGCTGTGTGGTTGTGCCAGCACATAGTTCTAGCCCTCTGTAGGGGTCTGTGTGTTTCAGTTTTAATTTACTTTGATTCAAAAACCCCAATTCTTGATATACCCATATCAATACAAACCAAAGCACGAATCGTGCTGAATCTACCTTGATCAAAGGAATATATCGAATCCTTAGAACGATTCAAATTGATTGATTAAAGCTTCTTACTTAGCTCTCAAAGCTTTGCGGAACCTTTGCCAACGCTACCCCTTGCTATTAAATAAATTTGATAGCAGTGAACTCGCATATTGTGTATTAGATTGGTTGGTTGGAGTGCCCATTAAATTCCTTCCTTTCTCTTTCACACAAAAACAAGGCAAGCTCGTTAACGGTTACACGGTGTACATGATCTTAACACAAAAGCAACATGCTCTGGGTGCTTTCACTGCTGGGAAGTGCTCTCAACCACTTTCAGACCCTTAGCCGAAAATACAGGTTTTGCAAATAAGTTGTGACAACAACTCAAGAATGTTCCATCCTCTACCCTTTGTAACAAAGTTGCCCAGCCTCCGGTTGCGCTATAATGATCCATCCGTGTAGGCCATCAAAGCCTGTCATATTCGTGTACCGTCTCTACAAAAAATCATGTCGTACGAGCAATTACTAGAAGTTGTACAGTACATAGAATAAACGCAACTTTGTCTAATGCTGATCACGTTCTCGTTACACTTTTTGACTTTATCCCAGGATCTTTTCGACATGGAGCAACTTTTCGACGTGCTGCTAATAAGCTCTACTAAGCTGATCATATTCCAAACCAGTGCCAAACTTGTAAAGCAGTGAAAAGTATACGGATTTGGTGCAATCTGATCTTGGACCGTGGTAAAATCTTCACGCGCGCTAATCGGAGTGGTATGCCAAAGGACCTAAGCAAGCAAGGTGATCCGTAATGACTTTAAGCGCGTGGGGCTCGACCCAAAATTCTCACCGTCCTCACTGTATTCGTAACTTCACCCAGCTTCACCCGCACTCTTTCTTTTGTGACAATATTAGTTCATTGAATCCTGTCTTCACTCATCTTACATCTCCTGGATGCTCAAATCATCCATTCGCCACAAACCGATCCTGCATGACTTCAATATCTAGAACCTCAAGAATTATTAGTACTAAAGAAGCTGCTGATAGCTCAAATATTGTGGCAAGTCTGGGCATATCCATCTTCGCACCATACCATATTCTAACGGTTGAGACCGGTCAGGTGTCGAGCTCGTGCAAATCCAGGCCTATCAAATCAAATAAGGAGGCCATACGATCTACACATGAAAAAGGCAAACCAACTGTGACTACTAGTACTGGAACTATGTCTAACAAATCAGACGACGGGGTTGGGATATACATCAATCGCTTTGGGAAAAGCCAGGTGGTCGCACAGGTGTGTCACAATTGAAGTGACGCTCAAATTATTATTGAATTATATGACAAGGTGCAAGAACCCGTACTCCCGTTTGGATCCCTAAAGGAAGCAGGAGAACGCGAAATTGTCCGTAATCCCCACTGTATTGTCACACACCAATAACCAGAAGGTTGACCTTCCAGGTAATCCCAACTTGCGCCCGAAACCCTGACAAGGTGCAAGAACCCGTACTCCCGTTTGGATCCCCGAAGGAAGCAGGAGAACTCGAAATTGTCCGTAATCCCCACTGTATTGCCATGCACTAATAACCAGAAGGTTGACCTTCCAGGTAATCCCAACTTGCGCCCGAAACCCTCAAGTCTGTAGGTACTTTGGGTATGGTTTCTGTGAATGGGGTAAACGATGCCGTCGTATACATCATTTTGACACGCGTAACGAGGTGCGCTGTCTTCCCAATTCTCCTTATCATATCTTATTTCTTGCAGGTGAACCGAAGGATACTACAAAATGTTTTCAAGGACGACCCTCCTAAAGTAAATGTCATTGTGTCTTTAAGAGTTATCTCGAGGTCTTCGAAGATTGACTGACATCTACATGTATCATCAGGTAGTTCCCACCAAAGCGAATGTCAACGAAGCCTGTCGCCTCTATATCGAAGGTCGCTGTAACCTTGGCTGGCGTTGTCGTCGTATCCATCTAATTCCTCTATCCCGCGCGTTCACCGACGTCGATGCGTCAAACTCGCCCGAAAGTGAGCTCGAAGATGATCTCATTGTTAAATTGCCACCTTCTTCAAAGCCACTATTACCACCTGTAATGATGATTTAAGTACATCCTTTTGTGATATCATGTTAACCCGATTTTGTAGACAACCTGCCTCAACGTGCCAACTGACACTCAACTTTCACAATCCTTATCGGGTCAGTTCATGCTTGACCTGGGGTCGCACCTATGGCTCAAAGCCTCTAAGGTTGTGGAGCTTCCTGAGCCCGAAAGGTGGGGATGTGAAACAGATGCAAGTACATGGCTGGACACCGACAGCGACACCTCTGAAGGATCTGTTCGTCTATTTGTTCTCGTCAAACAAGGTCACTGACTTTTGATTTACAATAGAATTCTTTGGACTCTAGTACCTCGTCATTAGAGGCGAGTGCTCAAGTCAAGCATCCGCCTCCTAGGAACTCCGAAACATGTAGGCGATGGCTGAAAGGATGCTGTGAACGAGGCTATAGCTGCCCATATGTGCATAAAGACCTCGAATATGACAAATCTCCGTTTGTCAGTTTTATTTTGAGTTCATTCGAAATGTCACCAACAAACACTCATAGGAGCCTCGACCTACTGCCCCAACGTTTTATATGGCTACTATACATGACCATATTCGAGTCAAGTTTGGCGCTGGATTCAGTGTTCAAGAAGTCATCACTGGTTTTGAAACTCCGTGGCTATATGTTAACAATATTCCATCCAATGTATCGCAGGACGAAGTTACACAACTTCTCTCAAAGCATGGTACAGTGCAGGACTTCCGTTCAGAAACTGGTAACCAACGAGGAACCCTGCGAGTACGTGTGCGTTTTTCCAGTGACATCGAAGCGCGGAACGCAAACATCATTCTCAATGGGACACGGCAATGGGGATCTCTCATCTCAACTCAGCTTCCTGTGAATACCGCTCATGGCCGTGGTGCAACGCTTCAGAATACTGCTGTTCGGATTGAATGGGAAGCACCTAGCATTATTGGGTATGCTGGGTACCCTACCGAGGAACGAGCAAAGGAGGCCATCGCTATCGCTAAGACTGCATACTCTGAAACTTACATTTCTGCTCACATGTATTCCGGACTACCTCAGATGGCTGCATACACTGTCCGTTTTCTCAATCTCCCTGTTCATACCAAAAAAGAACAGATGAGAAAATATTCAAAACCTCTAGATATGATGTGGGACGTGCCAAATTATACCTCGGTTGACGAGGTGGCCACATTTCTGCGTCGTAGACTAGAATCGAACGGAATTGATATCATCAGCTTCGAGGTCCTACCTCCACCATACCGCGATGGCCGGGTCAGAGCCTGGGTCCATTTCCTCGCACCCGTTGCTGCCAAGGCTGCGTGCCAGCTTCTTCACCTCCGTAAACCAATGTGCACGGGCAGAACTCGTATATTTGCATACCACGTGCAATCCCTTTCCTACTCTATTCTACTTGAGCATTACAAGAAAATCCAGGACGACATTCTACTTTTCCGTGAAAGGCTACGGCGCGAAGTTCAGGGAACGACTTTTACAGTCATTCCCGGCGCGTCATCCGTTACCATTCGATTATCTGCTATCGATGGAAAGGATCTTGGCAATTTAAAGGCCGAGTTCGAACATCTTCGCGGAGGTGAAGTTGTGAAGCATGACGGCGAGGTGCTTTGGGATCGATTTTTTGGTCTCCCTGCAGGAAAGTCTTATCTCAGGAGGCTCGAGATTGCTCATCTTGGAATTGCAATTCGAGAGGATGCTATGAGACGGCGGCTCACGCTGTTTGGACAATCCGCTCTTCGAGAGGAGGTTAAAGCTGCTTTGACCGAAAAGCATAATGAACTTTTGGTAGCAGAGAAGCGATGTCTTTTCCTTGGACCTCTTATTGGACCATTCATACATTCTGAACTCGGATCTCTTTCCCAAAGGCTGGGTCCTGAGAAAGTTGTTCTGGATATGTGGAACCGTCAGTTGGTAGTGAGCGGTAAAGATCATGATTTTCGTGTCGCTCTGCAGGCTGTTCAAAAAATTCAACGCAGACAGCATCCCCATTTGCAACGCGACGTTGCATCTTGTCCTGTCTGTCTTGGGGAGGTTGATTGTCCAGTCACTCTTCCCCAGTGCAAGCACAGTTATTGCCGTGCTTGCTTAATCAGCTATCTTCAAGCCGCGATTGATGGTAGATTCTTTCCGTTAACATGCTTGGGTAACGACGACAATTGTTCAAGTCCCCTTTCGATCTCACTCGCGCGTCAAGTCCTTTCGTCAGGTGAATTTGACTCACTAATCGAGGCCGCTTTTGAAGCGCATATCCACGAACGTCCCGAAGAATTCCATTATTGCCCCTCTCCTGACTGCATGCAAGTCTACCGACCGGCTCCCAGTGGCAACATCTTGCAGTGTCCGTCATGTCTGCTTCGCATATGTCCACAATGTCACGTCGAACAGCACGACGGATTTGAGTGCCCCGATCGTGATGGTGGGGACCACCTATTCAATGAGTGGGCAAGAACTCATAATGTGAAAAATTGTCCTTCGTGCCGGGTCCCTATTGAACGAGCGGAAGGATGCAACCATGTTACTTGTATTCGCTGTCGGACTCATATCTGCTGGGTTTGTATGCAAACTTTTCCTAGAGGTGATGGTATATATAACCATATGCGCGCTGAGCATGGAGGCATTGGGAATGCCTTCGACGATGATGGGCTATGAACTTTACGAACCATATGCCATGTTAGTATCTATCTCTTGTATCTGTATTTTATTGTTGTACAGTATATCTTTATCGTTGTATTCATTATTCTAGAGTTGTTTGAATTCAAATTAGCAGCAACCCGTGCGATGTACTGAGGAGTCGCTTTGCTCTGCCCGTGCATTGAGAAATGAAGAGGTTACAACCTGAAAAGGCATGCACACTAAGTAAACCAGTCATCATAACCAGGTTTAAAGCCCTGGTCCCACACAGCAAGTGAAGGAAAACAATAATGTCATTCGAACTGAGCTTATAATGTTCCACCAAAAAAAGCGCTCATCAACGTTTTGAGTATTGAGAAGCCCAAAAACCCATACCTTTGTCACGGTGGCTTGCTTTGCTTGCACCTTGTGCTGCAACTGGGCTCATAGCATGTTGGGGGCAAGCTCTCAAACCCTCAGGCCTCATCTGTCAGCACTTTGCACATACCACTATGTACTAACTATGTACAGCAACGTATTGTTACAAATTTGTTTACTGAAACTATAATTTCAAAGGTTTTGCCACTTGCGGCCTTATCGATATCCCCCAGTCATTTTTAGTTTTATAATATAGGATTTCAATGCACGAGTACCAGCCTAGCGTAAGCTACGGTGTTCACCGACGTGTCTACTACGTCTAGACTTGCTCACGGTGCTCGAGCGTTCAAGAGCAGCCTTCAAGGACTTAACGGTTTGTACAATTTCATCTATAGAGGTGTTAGTAAAGTGGACAGTTATGTTGAGCCTGTACTTACTTGCCAACTTGGGTGTTTCTGCCTCGAATAAGTATCGTTTATCACCCCCTGCGCGGCTGTATACAAGTTTGAAGTTAAGCGGCGTTTTCGATGACTGTTGGCAATCAACGATGGTCTTGATATGATAAGATATCGTGCGACCGCTATCGAATACGGCTTTGGCTGCCTTGTTCGTCGATGGCATTATCTATTGAAAGATAAGTGGTTAAAGAGATAAAAGTAGAAGGGACCTACGTGAACATATTGTCCATCTATGGCCAAGGTCTTCTCCTGGCGGGCGACAAGCATGGGTAGTTTCCGATAGATGGTGTATTTCTAGACAAGTGAATATCGAACTCAGAATCATGTCAACAGTCATTAGTCTGCAGCGAACCTTGTATGCAGCAGTAAAGTCCAACGTCGACGATAGCTTAACCTCCGGACTGTCCGACATTCTCTTGAAAATTGAAGCTACCGCCATAATCATGAGCATGAAATCAATGAAACAAAGAGCAACTTACCGTTAGGATCTGTTGTCCGACCTGCTTTCATCACGTCGACACCCATTTGGGGAAGCATGCTCTTCTTCACTAGTAAAAGCTCACGTGTGCCTTGTAAACTGGCCACTGTTCGGTCCAAAGGTATGAACAACCGGAGATCCGCCAACAACAACGCAAAGTCGCCTGAGTTTGCGATCTTGCGTTTGCGACATACGAGTTCCAGAACTTCCTGCATATACATTCCGGAAGACACGGGAATCGTTGTAGAAACATGGACAGCATCTGCGTTATCGGCGATTCTGACCCGGAGGAACATCTGTGGACCATGACTGGAGATAGGGCCAAGGCTTGTCGAGAGCGGGACGGATCCGTTAGCAAGGGAAGAGCTGAAGATTGCGCTGGAGCTTGGAGCTCCGGAGTAGGGGGGTAGTGCAAGAGCAGGTGGTTTGCCAAGATCGGGCCTCCGAGCACCACTTGTTCGGGATGGCCTTCGTTGAATCTTACTCTCAAGAATCTGATTTTGTCCAACTGTTTTAGATAGTCAGTACCCAGACGCCAAAAACTGATCGTGTTGCGAACCTTGGGCAGGCGTGGCTTCGATGACAGCAAAGCCATCGGCATTGAATTTGATAATTTTTCCAGTTCGATCGGGCGCTATATCAAGTTTGAGCAAGAGCCAAGTTAGGATTGAGTAGGTGAATAAAAGGCATACGAGGAAAGTCGTCGTCGACCTCGCCGTCATCCTCGGTAAGTCTCAAGACCCATCCTATAGCAGAAAGTCGTGTTTCTCTGGCCTGTTGCCCCTCTTCACCTTCTGGAATACCTTGATCAAGCTTGGGCAACCACGCTTCCTCCCAGTAATTCCACAGTGCAAAGCCAATGACCTCTTCGACAGTTGCATCCTTTCTCACATTGAGCTCCATTGCCTTCCCTCTTGGCTCGCGAGCGTGAGGGAAGAACACAGACACGTTGGTCGCGGCTGCTTCACCTCTGCCAGATATGGCCGCGTACAATTCAGCGAAAGGGTTGGATGTGTTACTCGTTGCGCCGAGCATAGCAGTGAGGGCCGATGGAAACGGCCGTATCGGTGTAACTGGTTTTCGCGAAAACGATATCAGATTATGATTACTGGAGGAATGCTGTGAAAGGGAGCCAGAGGATGTTGTGTGTGAAGGGATTTTAGAAAATGGAACAGCATTTGGGCGGCGGATAGGATTGGAAACAGTGGGAACTTTACTCGTAACCGCGGCTTCGGTATCTGTTGTAGCGGATCGAGCAGGAGCTTCTGAGGTGTCGCCACCTTCAGAGACAGGGCTGAGCCTTGGCCGAGCAGATGTCGCCAAAGGAACAGAAGAGTTGATAGATGGTAGAGAATTGGATATATCTGAGGCACTGTCGGAATTCACTGGGCGAGTAGCAGCAAAGTCACTGTATCAAGATCAGGTATCAGTTGCTCGATGAGCAAGAAACGTCAAGTAGCACACTTACGGATCGAATTCGTCGCCGTCATCCATACTATCATTGTCCACCTGGTCGAAATCAGAATCCGGCGAATCATCATCCGCGATGTGAACGACATCTTCCTCAGAGGATGTGTCATCAAGGGTGGGATCCGGCCTCACAGGTTCAACAGAGGGGGCAGGTTCTCCGTTCGTGAAACCTCTTCTAGCCGCCATTCCAGCCATTCGTATCCGTCTTCGGGCCTCCATTTCGGCTGCACCTTTGAATTTGGGGATGAATTGTACGACTTTCTGCACTGGCGCTTCTGCCACCACGGTTGGTTCGACAACGGTCACGTTCAGTTTGGTTGAGTCTGGATGCAACGAACTGGATGGCTGGTCTGCAGAAGGCTTGCTGATATCCGTGTCTAATACTGTTGTCGTGACGGGGGCACTAGAAGTTGTATTTAGAACTGAGTCTTGTTGGACAGGGGCATTCTCTGGGATGAAGTTCTGAACCTCTGAGGACTTGCTCAACCTTTTCGACACCGAAGCCCGTTTTGCATTGACTCTGAGACCTAGTCCCCCAGATCTACGCCCCATTATGGTTTGTGTATGTTTCAAACGAGCTCCAGGATACCCAAGAGGTCGTTCACTTTCATCTTCACTAATGGTAGGGCTGGAAGGAAAATCAAGTTCTGGCCATCGCTCATCATCTGCAAGGCCAGCAGTATAAATGTATGGGTTGGAGCTGTGAGACGGGTCAAGGGATATAATTCTGGCACCGTATGGATCATCTATATCGCGCAAATAGGAAAGACGAAGGCTATGGATTAAGAAGCTGCATGGTCTGAGATGATGTGTTATATTGGACTAAAAATGATACGCTCACGATGTGTCGCTAATGAGTGACATGACAATCTTAAGAGAAAGAACTTGGAATTTGAAAGAACTGTTCGGCGGGCGCTTATCCCTTCAGTTCACGTGGCGGATATTATATTTGAATCTAAACGTTCACCCCGTCAATAATATCCAAATGGCCTCGAATCAGCTCCCTCAGCATGACCATCGGAGGCCAGCAATGATATCAGAACTTGCAGCTCGCGCATCGCAAAACGATTGGAACGAGAATGGCGCCTTCAAATACTTCCTTCGCTTAGCAGAAAGGTACAGGAAGGAAGCTAAGGAGGCAGTGGCCAGAAACGACTTGGAAGAAGCTTTCGTGGCTTTTGCTCGGAGTGCTACTATTGTGCTCGAGATACTCCCGGTTCATCGTGACTATCTCACATCCTTGAGCAATGCGCAAAGGAATAACTTGACTTTGGTGCGCACATGATTTTACGCGGAATGTACAGTCATCCGATTGCAAGCTAACTTACTGTACTTTGTAGAATGGTCAAGAACTCCTTGAAAATCTAGGACATTTGAAGCGCATCCTACTCGAGAGATTTGATGATTGGCAAGCTCAACATCCAGATAGAGGCGATACTCCTCCACCAACACTTGCACAGTTACAACAGGAACAGCAAATGGAACATGACAGAACTGTAGCGGAGGAGGCTAGGAGATCGCAGCAAGAGGCAGATCTTGTCCGCCGCGGACAGGTGGAGCAGCCTCGACACCCACCGCCTCCTCCCGATCACGCTACGAATTCGGCGGTTCCTTTCGCTCAATCTGCACAGGGAATATCATCTATGGAATTAAGTCAGCGAAATCAACGACAGCAAGAGGAAATGCAATCTCGCAGTCAAGAATTGATGAGGCGCAAGCAGGAGGAGAAGCTGCGGACGCATGCCTCATCTCCTTCCATTTCATCTACCACAGGTACCTCCTCTGGCTCATCCATGACTATGCCTACTCCGTCCATTGCCGCAACTTCGTCTGCTCCTTCTCTTTCCTCTTCTGCAACTATGTACCATGCCGCATCTAAGCAATCAGCCGTGTCATTTCAACCTCCGCCTGTGTCACACCCAAACATGTATAGGTCTATATCACAACAGGCACCAACTATACTTCCACTTGAAAACCCCTCACGGTTTGAGGATGACTCTACAGACTCGGAGCAGGATAGTCGGACGGCAACTCAGCGCTACGCCACACCGACAAAATCAACGCGCGGGTGAGTGAATTTTACATTCGCATGAATACACCCGATTGATCGTCACTCATGTCAGCTCATATCCACCACCTCTGACTACAATGTCACCTCCGCCTCCAGATCGAATAGAATACCCCAAATTGATGAATGTCCACCAAAAGACACAAGGATACAGACCTTCACAAGATTCCATGTTCACCCAGACCTGGAATCGGGATCATTATAGCTTATCGGATGCTTATTCACATCCACAACGCGAAAACTATCATCCCCTTCCTCGCCCCCCCTCTCAACCTCCATATACAGGTCCAAATCAATCTGCACCAGCACCACCTATCCCAACAGAGACTAAACCGTCATTGACTCCTTCGGGTGCCTCAGAAACTTCCAATGGTCTCAAGATCGTCCACCTTCCCAGAGATTGCCTCAATCGTTTCTTAACTATTGCCAAGGTGAACACTGCACGCGACAGAGAAACGTGCGGGCTCCTGTTAGGCAAGGATCGCGGAAGCAAGTTCGTCGTTACGACGCTCCTGATTCCTAAGCAACACTCGACTAGCGATACATGTACTATGGACGAGGAGGAGCTAATACTGCAAGTCACAGAAGAAAGAGGGTTAATCACGCTAGGATGGGTGAGTAGTGAATGCTCGTGTCAAGTTAGGCTGAAGTTGAAGTCTCCCCTAGATTCATACACATCCCTCTCAGTCATGTAAGTCTCAATCCATTATTTTGACCACATTGCTCACACTGTCCATTCTAGGTTTTATGTCCTCTGTAGATCTGCACACGCACTCTGCATTCCAGCGTATGCTGCCTGAATCCTTCGCTGTCGTTTGTGCTCCATCATCGGTTCCAAAGTAAGCAAATTTGATCTATCTAAATTTTCTTCATGATGTTCTTGTCACTAATAATGCCTTCCCCAGCTTTGGAATATTCCGCCTGACAGATCCTCCGGGGCTGGGTCTCATCCTTGCGTGTAACGCCAAAGAGGCGTTCCATCCGCATCCTGATGCGCCGATATATACTGTGACTAGCCATGCTTTTGTATCGTCGTTATTTGATCACTCATTACTGAATCAACTAGGATGCAGAGAGAGGACATGTTCAAATGAAGGATATCAGTCTAGAAATTGTGGATTTGCGGTAGTCAGCTGTGTGAATTTGTTAATCTTGCGCCTCACATCTTCAATCTGGCGTACCGTTCAACATGTTTGTGATCTCAACTATCTCCTCCCTATTTGCATTGGTTTCGTCAATCTGAATCGGTATGCTGCATATAAATTGTATTTATTATCTGCTGTTGTATATCCTCCATCAAGTATCAGCCGTATGTAGCTTTATCGCATCGTAAATGGTCTTCCGCGACAGTACTGAGAAAATAAAGTGTAGGTACTCCGGTCCTTGAGAAATATCTTCTCAAAGATGACGCCATATCGGATCCGTTATCATAAAACAATCAGTGTGCTTATTGGTAATCCTCAGAACTTGATTCTTGACCGCCATCTTCAAAAATGTCGAACACTTTGCCACCTCTTCCTTACGCGTACAATGCGCTTGAGCCCTTCATCTCCGAAGAGATCATGACACTCCACCACACCAAGCACCACCAGACATACGTCAATGCCCTTAACGCTGCCGAGGCTGCTTTCGCACAAGCCTCAACAACCAAGGAGCGCATCGCTCTCCAGGCTGCTCTCAAGTTCAACGGTGGAGGCATGTATCGTTCACAGACCTGTCCAGAGCTATAATTTGACCACTCCCTATCATTTTACTTACAAAAATCCCTTATCCAGGACACATCAATCATTCCTTATTCTGGCAGAACTTGGCTGCTCCTTCTGAGAAGGGCGGAAGTGGGGGCGTGCTCAAGGATGGGCCTTTGAAAGAAGCCGTCATTGCATCGTTCGGTTCGCTCGAAAATTTGCAAAAGGAATTCAACACGACGACTGCTGGTATCCAAGGTTCTGGATGGGGCTGGCTTGTAAGTTTCTTCCTTCTATTAAATTACCTATCAGAGGCTGATTTACTTTGTTATCTAGGGTGTCAACCCTTCCACCAAGCGCCTCGAGATCACGACCACTGCTAACCAGGACCCTCTGCTTACTCACATTCCTGTCATCGGTGTTGACATTTGGGAGCATGCTTTCTACCTCCAATACAAGAACGTCAAGGTTGATGTATGTATGCTTGATTTTTACTTAACATATGATGCTCATTGAAAACATGCAGTACCTTAACGCTATCTGGCATGTCATTAACTTCGACGAAGCCCAGAAGCGTTTCGTTGATGCTACCAGTGGATCCAAGCTCTAAAGTTTTGAATTTGAAAGTAAAGAATCCAATTGAAGGAGATACTTTGTAACTGCTGTATCAATATGCCTGAATAAACATATGTTGCTATCTTCATCGATTCAGTATGCCGAATCTGGATATTGGAGTTGAAATGGTAGCGAAATGGACTTGATACTATACATGATAAGATGGATATATAAGGATTTGCGTAACCTTGGTTTTGTACTTGAATTATTTACATCCTCTTTCTTCTCTTCCCCTCCATTTTCTGTGAAACATCCTTCTTTTTCTACTTCTTCCCATTCTTCATCAACCTGCCTATGAGGTGAATCTTCCTCTGTCTTCTCATTCGAGTTTGACACCGTCTGAGGGCGGAAAGTATTCCGGAATCAGCGATTCGTATACCATTTTGTCTTTGTCACTCCAAACGACAAAGATTACGCGATCCAGCTACGTAGATTCCCAAATGTCAGACAAGTGAAGAAGGCAGGGCAGCAGGATAACCAACCTTGGCAGAAGATTCTCCTTCCGACTCAAAATGCTTTCGAACCACGTTCAAGGCAATGTGAGTTGCATCCTCGATAGGATAACCGTAAATGCCGGTCGAGACAGAAGGAAAAGCCTAACAAATGACATGAGAGGCGAAGACAAACGTACATTGAGCTTACAATGTGGCGAAGTAAGTTTGTCACGGCTACGTCGATGCTGGTCTGATAGCAAGATGCCAGTTGTTGTGCCTTGATATCGACTGAGGAAGCAGAATATACGGGTCCAACTGTGTGTATGATGTGCTTTCTATGCATAGAGATGGTCAAAGACGCAGTCTGTCGGTGCTTTGAGCCAAACTTACGAAGGCAATCTATACGCGCCAGTGATTTTGGAGAACCCTGTATCACATCCGTTCAACGTCCTGCCTAATCAGCAGAAATCATCAATCGTTTGCGTCTGATAGTGACAGTACTGTTCGCCGTACATTCTTCCAGGAGTTGTGGACCAGCTGCCTTGTGTATAGCACCATCGACGCCGCCTCCGCCTGTTTATATCCCTTTGAGGGTTTAAGTAGTAGTTATTGTTGCGTAGCAAGACCAACCGAGAAGGCTTTTATTGGCGGCGTTGACGATCGAATCAACTTCAAGCTTCGTTATATCTCCTTGACTGCAAGAAATATGAAGCCTCTGAGAAGGATTCCGACACAGATTACCTACAACAGGGAAACTCGATCCAGGAATGCGGCATTGGGTTTGAATTTGGCCTTGCCTGCTGCTGGTGCTGTGATTATAGATGATTTGTACAGCTGAGCGACTGTACTGATTTCTGAGAGCTTCATAATACGATTCATTGGAACCTCCTCGTCCGACGAATCTGACATAGATGATGATTGGGAATAAAAACCCGGCAATTGCTCGGATGTCTTCAAACCTGGACGTGGCAGGCAAACGTTGAGCAAATATTGATTATGACTCGAGACTGATTTACGTCTCAATCTCTCATTTCATCTCTCATGGAGGATCCTTCTTCTTCGTTGGACCTATCTCCTGAACAAAATGCTCAATATGATATGATCACCAGGAGACTACAAGAAGTACTTGGAGGTGACGCTATTAAAGCCATTCTGAAAGAAGGCAAAACACCAAAGGCTTACTGGGGCGCGTATTTCCCTGATACATCTAGTAGCACCAATGTTAAGAGGCTATAATCCCTGCAGGAACTGCACCTACCGGAAGACGTGAGCTGGATCGTTCTAGATCTGTTTAGTATTTTATCCAATGATCATTCGTAGCGCATATTGGATACTTTGTCCCATTGACGAAGATTGCCGATTTTCTACGCGCAGGGGTAGAGGTACGTTGCCCAGCTGTTTACAGGAGTTCAAATGCCGATTCGTTTGTACAGGTTAAGATTCTATTGGCAGGTGGGACTGTTTAAAAAAGTTCGGGTAATAACTCACGCGTTCTTAGACGTTCATGCATTCCTGGATAATTTGAAGGCGCCACTCGAGCTTGTGCAGCATAGGACGAAGTACTACGAATATGTTCTTCGTGCTGTTTTCAAATCACTCGGTATACCGACGTCGAAACTTCACTTCTTCCAAGGATCGTCTTATCAACTCACGAGCGAGTATAATATGGACAACTATCGATTATGTGCAACTGTGACAGAACATGATGCGAAGAAAGCGGGTGCAGAGGTGGTGAAGCAGGTAGAGAGCCCATTATTGAGCGGTCTACTCTACCCTGGTCTTCAAGCTCTCGACGAACAGTACCTGGATGTTGACTTCCAGTTTGGTGGTGTCGATCAGGTACGTCTACTAGCTTCAAAATCGTTCGGCCAGCTCACAATTATTTGTCAGAGGAAAATCTTCACCTTCGCAGAACTTTACCTCCCGCGTTTAGGCTATCGCAAACGGGCACATCTTATGAACGCTATGGTTCCCGGCTTGATGGGAGGCAAAATGTCTTCCTCAGACCCGAATTCCAAAATTGATTTCCTCGACTCTCCTGAAATCGTGAAGAAAAAAATCAAAGGTGCTTTTTGCGAGCCAGGAAACGTGGAAGATAACGGACTGCTCTCGTTCGCCGAAGCTGTGATTTTCCCGATCAGCCAGCTCAAAATTGATCAGGCAAAGGGTACTGGGGTAATGGATGAGGATGGAAAGGAAGCCCTCTCTACAGATCAAAGATCCTTCGCCTCCGACAATGCTCCAGAAGGCACTCTTTTCACTGTCAACACAAAATTTGATGGTCCTATGCATTTTTCGACATTCGAAGACCTGAGGCAGGCTTTCAAGGACGAGAAGTTACATCCTGGAGATCTAAAACCTGCAATGGTGGATGCGATCAATAGACTACTGGATCCCATTCGAAAAGCATTCGGGGAGAGTGAGGAGTTTCGGCAGACGGAACAGCTTGCGTATCCCGATCCAAACGCCAAACAACCGGCGAAAAAGAAGAAGGTCGGTGTCGTAAGTAACCTGTGGATACATATACTCAATTCTTGATGCAGGAGAAAGTCTACCATCCACCTCCACCTGGAAAGGGCAAGAATGCGAACCCAAGCGATGCTGTTGCCAAAGTGCCTATAGGGCTAGAGTCTCCTCCTCCACCTGAAGCTTCCAGTACGTCCTAAAACGACGACGAGCTGACATAAAACTCAAGGTATTGTGGGTATCCAAGCCTTGGAATTTACAATGTTTTCCGAGATTGGGGCATACATACATACAAATTAGGAATGTACATGCGATGAATGAAATGTACACTGTAAGTACTAAGCGGCATAATTATCGATATTACAAGGGAATTATTGGTTCCAAATTCTGGTTATAGACAAAGCCTGAGGAAATCAAAAGCAACGGTCGAAAAGGACAAAAATGCGCATAGAGAAGAAATATGTACCACCGCGCGCGCAGCGTGACGAGACCATAAATTTAAGTCTAATGTGGGAGCATCCTGACAGTCAGCTATGATCGCCCTTCACAGGTCCTCCATCCTCGTCCGTCATCCCGTTCATCGATCCCGAAACAGTGGATTGGGCAACTTGAGCAGCGTGTGCGACGGCATTTGCCTGTGCTTGGGCGACAGCCGCAGCGGCCGCGGCGGCCTGCGCTTGAAATGGCGTAGGAACGACCAAAGATCTGTGGAATCGTGCGCGAAATTCATTCGCGGCGGAAGTCGCAGAAACGTCTTGTGGTGTTGCATTTGGAGGATTCTGAACAAAAGAATGTTGTGACGAGTACTGCGATGCATCAAATGGTTGCTGGTGTTGCTGCCGGCGCTATAATTGAGTTTCAAAGGAGGGCCAATCGCTGGAACTTAGTCGGAACGTACCTGACGATCCCATTGGTCCCATGCGTCCGCGATAATTGGTTCCAGACTAGCAAGCTCCTCATTACTCATCTGAAGGCTGTTCAGCAGGTGCTGTTTGAGTAACGGTGCACATGAGAAGCTTAAAAGCAGAGTAGTCGCAAACATTTGGCCACCATGCCCTTGTGTAGCGAGATTATGGGTGAAAGAAGATTCGTTGTTATCATCGTTGAGTGATTGTTGTACGATACCGGGAGGAGGAGGAGATATCATCGTAGCATGAAATCCAGCCTGAGCGTCAACAGGATATGTCATATCACCTTGCTCCTCGCTGGATGGAGCCTGGATACTGCCAGAAATGTCGTTGCCCATGTCCATACCTAATTCGCGCATCTTTCTCTGTTTCACGAGCGCTCGATGCTTGCGTTGTCTTTCACGGGCAGCAGCTCTGACTCTATCGCGCCTGGCTTCTTCCTCAGGAGTCAAGTCTGGTTCAATAAGATTGGATGGGCCATTGTTTAAGTTTGGGTCTGCAATAGGAGCAGGGGGAGGTGGTGGTGGAGGAGGCGGAGGCGGTTGGCTTACGACCACCGAATTCGCCGGATTCCTTTGTGGAGGTGGATGGACATAGTTTACTGGGATGCCCAATCTGTCTCTTTCTCTTTTCCTCCTTTGTCTTTCTGCTGCCTTTTCCCTTTTGATTCTTTGACTTGGTGTTTCGTTTTCGCGATTCCGTTTCCTGCTGTTCGGTGTTGTCGTTGCGAGGGTAGCGGCATCCATGATGAGGTTAGATTCCATCTCTATGAAAAGTTCAACGTTTCTTTATTGACACAAGTCCTCTTCACAAACTAGATGCCTACTGGTTAACCTGATCCGGCTGTGACGTCCAGAGCGCGTCCCGGTGACAATTCGTGACCTACGAGTGACGGGAAGGAGGGAAATGGGTCACAGCGTACTACGCTCAGCGTGTGGTGCGATGGCGTGGGATCGAACAGCCTTCGGCTTGTTCGGCAGCGATTGGATCAAAACAATATCGCCGATGCCGTTCATAGTTTTCATGAGATTTAGTTCACATACATATTTATGGGTACATCCATGAGATAGTAGAGGGCCAGGCGTTCAAAGATTCCAGAGGATAAATCACTATGGGTGATGGATTCAAAACATATACATATGTAAACGGAACCTTCATACGTTCGTGTTTCTCTACATCATGCTTGATTCATCCATGTCCTCTCAAGAGATCTATGTATTTACGAGGACTTGGAAGTTTGAAGTCAGGATACCTGTGACAAACGCGTCGTCACGCGTCACAATGTAGGCGTTTTGTACGGATAATGGATGGTAATGGATAGAAGCTCATCGGAGATGCAATGCGGTATTCACCAGGATTGCTCACTGCAAAAACATCGTCCAAACAATGAATTATTTCAATTCAATTCCAACAGGTATTTCAACCAATCATACGTTACGGTACAGCGAGGCATCAGGACGCATCAAAAGAATGCGCCACCCCAGGCCACCCCTTTGAATAATCCATCTTTATGAATGATTCTTCCGAGAAGATCTCTATGAAAGAATTGCAGACTGAGAGCTGAAAGTTCAGTAGTTCGAATGGAAGTGATGTACATAAGGAGTTGAACTCCCACGATAATAATATCCGATAAGCCTGGCCACCATCTTCTTACCCAGCCATGTCTTTCGTCGCTCCCGATTACGCTCTGCTTCCCTCAAATACTCATAACGACGCAGACGACTCCAGTAACGACTTGGGCTTTGATGAAAACAATGCAGAACATACAGGAAAATTCGCTGCCTTCCTGGCTCAATTATCTAATTTATTTCACCGTAATGTTGGGCTGCTCTTGATTGTTACTGCACAAGCATTCCTGGCTCTGGTGAATGTCGCAGTAAAGAAGCTCAACACGATAGATCCCCCCGTACCAACATTCGAACTGATCTTCATTAGAATGGTGCGTCGAATTTGAGAGTATCCACTTCTTTTGTTGACTTGCATATCAGGCGACAACTTATGTGTTCAGTATCGCTTACATGTGCGTTAGGGCTACACAGTTATCTCATTCTAACTGACTGACAACTATTTAGGAAATATACAGCAGTAGAATCTCCTTTTCTGGGACCAAAAGGCGTTCGATTTCTTCTAATGTTCAGAGGCTTTTCTGGGTAAGGGCTGAACCAATACACATATTTCTGGGCTTAGTCCTGCATTCATCAGATTCTTCGGAGTGTTCGGAATTTACTTCTCCCTAAAATTCCTTTCTCTCTCCGATGCCACCGTTCTTACCTTTCTCTCACCACTTTGCACCGCTGTTGCCGGAGCGTTATTTCTCGGCGAAACTGTCGGAAGGAAAGAGATTTTTGCTGGACTGTTCAGTTTGATTGGGGTCATATTCATAGCCAGACCAACTTCCCTCTTTGGACACCACGGTCCAAGCTTGGATGGGACCGCCCTTTCAATGAATTCAACCAATGCTTCATCCGTGCTTATACATGGAATGAGTATAAAGAACGCCACTTCTTTTTTAAACAGCACCTTGAACGATTTACATGCAACACAGACAATAGCATCGCCTTCTGCGACACCGACCCAGAGATTGATAGCCGTTGGGTATTCCGCCTCAGCCCTAGAAATATTTTTACCTTCGTTGACGCCTTCATCGTAGTGTATCTCTACTTGGTGTATTAGGATCAACTGGTGCATGTATGTTTGAAGTTTCTCTCCTTTCTCTTCTATGTCCAACTTAAGCTTCACACTGTAGATACCTCCATTCGTGCCATTGGGAAACGCGCACACGCTCTCCATTCCATGGTCGCGTTTTCTGGATACAGTGTGATCGTGAGTGCCATAGGGTGAGTCCATAATTTCCCATAATCTTAATAACAGTCATCATCTGATAAGAAAATTCTCGCCAAAGTCTGGTAGTCACTCATACGCCCGTTGTCATTCCGACTTCTCCTATATGGCTTCTCCTCCTCCTTGAAATCGGTGTATTCGGATTTTGTGCTCAGGTCTATTGTTGTTCATTCCTTTGAATGCTTGAATATTGACACAAAAGTGCTTTTTTTCAGATTTTCTTGACTCTTGGTCTTCAACGCGAAACCGCTTCTCGTGGAACACTTGCAATCTATACTCTGATCGTCTTCACCAGCCTTCTTGATCGTATATTTTTCCACAGCGCACCCTCCTTACTTTCTGTGCTGGGCACGTTGATTATTGTAGGAAGCGCCTTGTGGGTGATTGTCACGAAAAAGAATCAGAATCGGAAATCTCTACCTATCAAGGGGGTTGTAGGTGTAGATCTTCCAGAGGATGAAGGCGGTGAAGAAGAAATTTTACTGAAAACTGTAGAAGAAGCTATAGGAAGAGAGAGCGCTTCGAACTCAGATCATGATGTGTTCGAGGTGGTTGTGCAAAACGAGACGGCAGGTCTTGAAGATTAAAAGTTTCAGTGATTGCTTATCGGTCCGTCGTGTCCGTCGTGTATTTCTGTAGAGTTTGCTGAATGTATCTTTTTGGAATGTTGCACTTGTGAACCATATTCCATATGCACTCGGTTTACAAATCGCTAGGATCCGAGGCCTCCGTTCACTAGTACACCTGATTTTGACAACACTTACCATGCGCGTCGTTATTTAAATTCGTTCTAACTTCTCACCATGTTGTAGCGTTCCCAGCTGTTCCAGGCTACATGACCCTACGAAAGTCATTTTGATTCTCCTCGCTGTCCGATAACGAGCTCATGAAGAGCACATTTGACCCTCAAAATGATTTGACCGAACTAAGAGGCAAGGTTATAATTGTTACGGGTGGAAAGTACGTATAAGTAATTCATATTTCTCCGTCTCTAATCTTGAACTTTTTATTTCACAAGTCGAGGTACAGGTCTTGCAACGGTCAAACATCTCGCACGAGCCGGTGCTACGGTGTACATGGCCGCTAGAAATGAGGGGAAAGCCCTACAGGCCATCGAAAAGCTTAATCATGAAGACCTTCAACCTGGGAATGGAAAGGTCAAATGGCTGAAGCTTGACTTGAGTGACCCAAGAGAAGCGAAAAGAGCCGCGGAAACATTTATGGAGAAGGAAAAGCGACTGGACGTACTGGGTAAGTGACCGTGTTGTTAAAGTGATCACCTATTAACCCTATTAATGACCTATGTTCGTAAGTCAACAATGCCGGCGTGTAGGGGCTCCAACGACGCAGAATCTTGATTGATGCTAATGTATGGGACTAGTCTTTCAGGTCCATTTGAGAAAAGCGCAGACGGTTAGAAGTACTGCTTCGTTTTTAGCATCCTCTAAACTCGATTACTTTTCATGTGGCAGGTCTTTCGACCATGGTGGTAGTCAAGTAAGCAAATCTCGCGTCACCGAAGCGCAAATCGAGTCAGTTCTGTTAACATCTTTTCAGTTATTTAAGCCCCTTCGTCTTCACTCGCACTCTGATCCCATTGTTAACTTCGACAGCAACCGAAGTCAACTCTGATGTTCGAATAGTTAACGTGAGAATCAGGCTTTCACCATTGATTGAGCCAAATGATTGACCTTTTACATCAGCTCGCATCGATAGCCCATAGATTTACCCCGTCTGGCGTGAAATTCTCTGAAATTGAAGACCTCAATGTTCAATATCGCGGCAAGATTATGCCAGGATTTATGCGTTACGGTATCATCTCTCATCTTACATTGATATTCCCTCACAGACAACCTCTAAAACCGTCTATTCAGCACACTCGAAACTCTTGGACATCCTTTGGACACGCTCTCTGCAGAAACATTTCAACGCCGCCTCTCCTCCAATTCCTATCGTAGCAATGTCCATCCATCCTGGTGGGGTAGACACCTTTTCTCATAACTGGCCTTTACCCTGGTTCTGGAAACCTATTGTCGCGCTCGCTATAAACGACACAGAACATGGTTCGTATACCTCGGTTTTTGCTGCGGCTGCCAAGGTCGTGCGAGACGAGAGGGAGAAATACTGTGGGGCTTATCTAGATAACAAACCAGTCGGGAGAATCGCAGTCCCCAGCGCGACGGCAAGAGACGATAAGTTGGCTGATGATTTATGGAGTTCGACAATGAGTTTATTGAAAGACCTTGGCATCTGAGATACCTATCGTGGGCCAATTGTATATTTGTATTAACATTGCCGAAAGAGAGAAAGAGAAAGATATCATTCATCGACAGTTATATGTAACCGAGACTCTTGATATCCGCTTCCCCTGCACCCGGAATCTGAACCTGAAGTTTGTTGGAACTCTGCAAGAATGGTAGGTTCACGCTGAGTATAACCTCGACAGCGCTTGAAGCCAAACTTGATACGCCCAGCAGCTCAAATTTGACCGTCTGGAGAGATGCAAATATAGGTCCAGCCAGTAGCGTGTCTACCGCACCCCATCGGTCCCAACGCTGAATCATTACTTCATCAGCGTACTCGAGATCAAGCTGAATAGTGAGGTGTCGCAGAGAAATACTTTTACAATCGTCGGAGTTTTGGATTGATTCAAGAAGGAATGATATCCAGGGAACGGGAGAGTAGAGCTCTGTCTGCTGTATTCTGAGCAGTGTAACACTGCGCAGGTTGGGCGTATATCCAAGATGAACAAGGGTAGAGTCTGTCATATAAAGAAAAACATTGAGTATTCAAGAACCCGTGGAAAGCACAGCAGTACGACGTACGAGGATTCCAAGGTGGTACCTGCAATTCCAACTCCTGGAGGTTACCACCGATATACTGTAGCAGGAAAGCAGTGTCCTCATAATCAGGAGCCGTAGCATGACGAATATGGATATGCAACGTTTGCAGATTTCGGATTTCTAGTGGACATGTGTCTTGCTGGAACCATGTTATGAAGGTACGCATATTAACAAAACGAAAGTGCAGTCGCTGATCCAGTTGTATGGACCGAGGTGGACAATTCGCAATAGGTGTCGGTGCGTCTCCGTTGTGGTAGTACAAAAAGTCGATTTTAAGCACACTTAAACATGACACCTGGCTTAAGAGAAAAGCCAGTTGGTTGAAACTCGAGATAGAGAAGTGTGAAAGGGAGACTGCGGTCAACGAAGATGTTTTGAAGATGTCCGTTACCGCTGTTTTCAGTTCAGGAGTAAGTGTCTCCCAATCGCATCTGGCCAACGTGAGTTTCTTCACATTGCTGAATTGTTCTACAACTCTGGTTGTCGAAGCATATGTCATTCTGTTGCTGGAATGAGACACCCTTCTTGAGTCATGCGAAAATTGTTTCAGCTCGAGAGTTCGGACGCAAGATGTCAGATACGGATTGCGATTGAACAGTTCTAAAAGCTGCTCATTCCGCGCGGTGTAAGCGGTCGCAAGCTCTTCGAAATCTTCATGATACTGATTGGGTAGTTGAAGGACGATACGTTGGAATATGCCACGCTGAGCAGAAAGAGCCCAGGCTTTTCCAATCAGGGCACAGTTGATGAGTGTAGCTTTTTCATGATGGAGGTTGTCGAGGATGCATTCTATTAATTCGTGGGGTAGTGAACTGGCCATGGATGCACTTAAAAAGAGCGATTTGTTAAAAATGCCGCCGGCAAAGAAGGCAAAGCAGTACATACGATGTGACGAGATATAACTTTTAAGGCTGCTCCGGGGCCTGATTGTCCAAGAACGTGCAAAGGTTGAGACTTTGCGGGTTGAATGATTGAGGTGGAATAAAATCACATTTATGCCTCCAGTATTTATACGGTTGTACCAGCTACTTCGGGGTTGGTCGGTTATCGGAGTAATTCTCAGTGCCGAAGTCATTGAAGGCTGCGACACCGCTGCGACGCCAATGCGACATTGCAACGCAGCGCTTGGTATATATGCAATTAAGTACCTGCATGTACATTGGTATACATTACACTCTACTAAATTGTACATCTTCCGAACAGATAGCATGCAGCTACAAGAAAACAGTCGAATAATACTAATACAGGCCAAGGATACGAGAGCTTCTTTGGCAAAATAACTTACAGTAGCCTGTTCCAATGATCACTACACCACTTCCGTTTTTTCTACTTTGGAAGGTGGTGCATTTAGAGACCTAGTAGCAGGTGTAGTAAGAGTTGAGGTGTCGGCACTGGCGCTATCGTTCGCATGTCCAGGTGCGCTCCTACTCCTTTTCGGGGGTTTTTCCTGTTCACCACCTTCATTTATTCCTCCCGGACCAGTGTTTTCTTTGAATAAAGTACGTCCCCGGTCATCCCAGTACGCACGCTCGCGTTTCAGACCTCTGCGTGCGAGAAAGTGACAACCGACCCAACTGACAAAAGCCCAGATGAAGAATTGCCCGAGAACCCATCTAAAGAGAGACACATAAGTTTCTATTCTTTCTGATCCAATTAAGGATGACAGGCAAAGCAAAACGTACCCGAAGGCGAAATTAAGCGTAGCAGCCCAAGTGACCGCAGCGGTCAATCCGCAATATACGGCACCGGAGATGACCCAGTAAATCGTGAGCTCGGTCATCAGTTGTCGAAATGGGGGAGATGCGTCCCATCTGACATCGAGGTTACAATGCCGAAGATAAGCATAGCAGCCGAAAAGGCAAGAAAGACATACCTTCTGTGAACCCGCTGTCGGAAGATACGTCCGTGCATAAAATCGACTGCGCCTACATCTTCAAGGCAGTAAAAAACGGCAGGCTTCATGAGAGACCCAACGGGCTCGGACGAGCACCTCACGGGCAGACGCCATTGATAGTGATAGGCGAGAAGGGAAAATAAAAACACGACGCCAACAGGACCGACGAGCATCATCGTTGACATTAGGAAGAAATTACTAAAGGATGTAACAGAGTTGACAGAACAAATGGAAGAGGAGAATTGGATGAATTGCTCACTAGAACGCTATAGACGGTGCGATAGCAAGTGGAAAGGCGAAGACGAGAAGGGCAAATGTGTAAGTCCACATAACAAAGTCGAGATGCCACCAGACATCCGTGGGGCCATAGGTTCTCGCGTGTTTGACCACTGAAATCAGGGTAAGATTAGTTTTTGAATTTCTTCCCAAGGCTTGCAACACGACATACGTCTAAATAGTCTGAATGGAGCATCGAAACAGGAAGAAATCCCGAGAGCTGCAGACGATATACCGATGAGTTCCTAGTGGAGGGAGAGTTCTTCTATGAGCAACGCGAGGGCCTTTTTTAATTTCAGATATACCTTTGTAGTGATATTGGTGACTGGCAGAGTGATGATGAGTCGCTTAGCCGATGAAAGGTGCCAAGAAAACGTGGAGAAAACTTACAGTTCTGGAGGAGATAGAAAAGTAGGCACGGAATTAAAACATTGCAAATGATAAGAAAGGCGACGTAGAGCGCCACAGAGGTTTTTCTGTAGGAGAAATGCAAGTCCGGAAGTGTAAGAAGGTCGTCGTCAGTTTCATGAGAATTATTAGAATTCATGGGGGAATTAGAGGCGTAATCTACGGCAGAATTTGTATGTTCACTGGAAGTCATGTTAGGAAGGAAAGCAAATTGGGCGCAAGTAAAATATTTTATTTAACCTTCATTGCAGTATAATTCACAGCGGAGCAATTGTTTCCACAATGGCGTACTGGTGCGCTGACGTCATCACGTCATCAATGACCAGAAACAGCCTTCGATTTTTTTTGGACTTATAAGTTATAACGTATTTAATTCCTTGTTCGTTTATTATTTCTTCACTTCCCTTCTTCTCCACAATACACTCCAATAATTCTCCATTTCATGCCTTTTCCAAGCAAGATATGGGGTTTCGACCTCACCGAGATGAGATGGAACGCGTTCAAGGGCAAAAACATGTATGACAGACGGTGGCATCTTCGCCGAGAACGCTTGAGTATGCTCAATTATTCATTCTGCTTCTGAAATATTTCTTATCAATATATGCAGTCGCCTATCAAATCGCCATGAACGTTTGTTTAGCTGCAGAGTGTACAGCGACTTATTCGTTATCAAAATACGAAGACTTGCAGACCCATGTACAAGCATACGCGTTCACCCTCGTTCCAGCATATGCCGTTGAACTCCACAATGACGATTTAATCGCTGCCGAGGTTCTGACCATCGTCTTTTACGTCTTCGTCGCTACACTATTCGGCGCAGACCTTTTCTTCTTGGTGCTATGGCCTCGCCGTACGTATCCCAACTGGTACAACAAAACACGGTTGGCTTTGGCTGTTGGCATCACTACTGGTGTTCTTGCAGCTGCGTTGATGAGTACTGTTCGTGTTTTTCATTTTATCACTGCTCCCTCGTGATACTCAATGTTGTATACAGATCGTGATAGCTAAGCATTCAGCATTTATCACTGGAGCTCCTGCGGAAATGCAACAGCAATATACCGATTTTTTCTTCCGCCCACCTCTCAGTTCGTAGCTCAGCTTTTCAAGCCATTCTCGGGATCTTACCTTTCTTTAGAGTATAACGTGTACTCAGTGAACATCGCTTATGTTTGCATACTTTGGATTGGATGGCTTTGCACAGTTGTGTCGTAAGCCATTCCAGTCTCATTCACTTTTCGTTGATGCTAATTAAACCGAGTAGAACCATCCTCATGTTCATGGGTGTTAAACACGAAATGAAATACGGCACTGATCCGAGTGAGCCTCTTCGCGACGAAAAGCCCACTAATGGGTCAGTTTCCCCATGATATTCCTTCTTTGCACCCTTGGGGTTTTTGATTGGGAGTTTGGAGAATGGGTACCATGCTCCGTCGGACACTAATATTAACACTGTAGAATACGCAAAAGCCGTGACACCCTCCGTATATTTTTCTATTCCAAAGCCTTTTTTGCTCTACCTGACAGATACCCACACTATACGTGCTTATAATTCATAGATATAGTAATACCTGCACGACGTTTTTCTCATCTGAATTTATGAATACACGAGTATAGCGACCTGAACTTTGATGTACTAAGTATAGCGTTTTATGAATTTTATGATGTCAAAGCTGATTTTATCAAGCGCTTTTGGGCGTTTTTTTGGGCGTCTATCTTCCTTCGTTTCATCAACACCCTTCATTGCCATCTTCAATTGAAAAAATGTACAAATGCGATCTCCTGGCGTGGCTAATCATCAAAAAACCCTCCTTATCCACACTCAACTTCACTGAAACCCAATTCAAAGTTCAACAAGTCAAATGGAACCGCCATAGACGACATGTCCCGTACACGATCTACAATGGAGTCATCTTCGACTGGGTGGTGGGGAATGTATTTCGTGCTGAATGGCCATTCGAGGACGACGAGAAAGATAAGGATGTGTTTTGTCTAGTGAGTTGAATGACTTAGCGTTTTCTCGCCTCTCCTGACTCGTCGAGTCCGACATTCAATGCACAATGGAAATTGATCATATCCTATATAGGAACTCTCGAGTGTAATCGGAAGCCCAGAATTCCTTCACCATCTACTATTGAAAGCGAATAAATTTCTCTCGAGTGACGCCGCTGTCCCTCCATTCGGTTTAGGTTTCCTGCTATCATGCGAGAGCAAGTTCCGAGGCGAGTTGGGGCCGTTTGACTTGCTAGATATGCTTCTTGGGGACATGATGTTCAGACAAGCTGGCGATAAAGGCGCAGGAAACAGTGCGGCGGTGAAAGATTTGTACCGAGATTGGTGAGTATACATTACCCCTTCAACTACTTGCTGAATTGCATTCCCTTACCGCGTTTAATTTGTAGGATTACTTGTAGGAGACAACGGCAGGAGCATGAACTAAACTCGAAAGGTAATGCATTGTCGGTTAGCTCAAAACCCCACTTACGGATTATTCTCTGGAGATCCTGTAGAAGCAGATATAACCGACGTTAGGGTGAATCTGAATGGTAAACGTCTCGAGCTATCTTCAGAATCCGCTTTTGATGACGACTGGGATTCGGATTCGAGTTCGAAATCTAAACCTCCATACAAGCGCCTACGAAGAAATACCTCCCGTTCGTTGATTACCCCCCCCTTATACGCTTAGTTACCCACGTAATACTACCTTTCAGCAGCACCTCCCGCTGTTAAGCCGCGTTCAGGCTTACTTCAATGGCTTAGTTCGACGACTACCCGGTTCAAACCTGATGTTTCATTGAACGTGCATAATATCAAGGTCAAAGAAAAAGGAAGCCCAGAGGTGAGTTTGACGTCCTTTTGTTTACGAAGTGCCATTCAGAATTGATACTCCAATGCCCATCTTGTCTCTTACATACAGCACACAAATGAGGATCAGTTGTCCGACCCGGGTTCCTCCAGCTTTTTATTCAGAGTATGCATGTCTAAGTCCTTTTCCATTGAGTGCTGGATTCCTGACACATTTCTTACGCTCAGCATCGCGTTGATCATGAAGATCCCCCCGGATGGATTTGGTACTTACGAAACTCCTATTGCTACAACTTCGTCGGGTTCACTCCCTTTTTAGTGTTCAACCAGCTTCTAGCACTGCATCAAGCGATCCTCAAAGCATCCCAACGCAAGGCTTATTGGAACAAGACGTCGGGCCTGGATCTCCTTCGCCTAACATCATGCTTCCAGAGATTCCTCTACTTTCGTCCTTTCACTTTCCGTCGTACGCTCTAATGACACCAGTCACTGAAGAAGTCAAGACGCTTTGTGTCAAGAACAGTCATCTTGTTGATTCCTCAAACACCGTTTCTTCAACTTCAAAGTCCTTTTCATTTCCGTCCTTGGTCGTAACTTCTAACGAAGTTTCTGGCTCCGTCGAGCAAGGATCTGATTCGCTGAACAATGCTCAAGCTCAACTCGGTGATAACTCTAATGTCAAATATAATAAGTCTGCAAGTGAAGCACTTGATATAGCAGAAGTCGACGCTCTGCTTTTAAGCTCTTCAAACTTGTCTTGTTCTACTCAAGTAATTCGCAATGGCGAGGAATCTTTGGATGCCGCAGAGGTCGATGGACTGCTGATGACCTTCAATACCACGGCTGCGAGCAATAGCTTTGACCGCCTATCACTTACTTCTACGCAAGCATCCCAGTCGGTCAATATATCCAATACGTCGACTCGTCTCTCTTTCTTCACGGCATCTCCTTCGACTCCCTCTCTTTCTTCGAGCTCGGTTCTTTCTTCTCCGCTGTCGTAATCGTCTGAAGTCGTCTACTTCAATCATTCTGGAGCTCGTTGCAGGTCAAGGCGGAAATGTATATGAGGGCTGTTTGGAAGGGGATCAACATTACACCAGGAACGGAAGGAATTGTATTACACAGAGTACATGATAGTTGTGAAATGTTACATTTAATCTTCCGTCCTTTCGAAATTAAAAAAAAGGCCTTTAAATCCTGGCCATGCATGGCAATTCTCCTACATATATATGATGTGACAGTCGCAAAAAATCGAAGTCCTTCATGTTTATACCATTCCAGCGTCTTGGATCTGTGTTTCAATGTATTCTACCAATGTTGGACTGATTTCCATCCATTCTGAGCAGAAAAAAATGAGTTTCAACAACGACACTATGATCGTGAGTACTCACCTTCGTCGGTCAACCGTTGGAGCTTTTTGACATGAGGATGTTGTGCTAATTGACTAGGGATGACCTCCTCTTTCCAGCCTAGCGCAATAAGCCTGACGGTGATGCTACAGCGATAATTAGATCCCATTGTCAGCCATTTCAACTTGATATCAGACAGTGCTCAGTGGCAGATGTACATACTCTTTGTAGCGAGTACGCCAGATTTCGAGATTTCCTTCCTTGCGTTGCTCCATCTGTCTTTCACAGCGTTCTGCATCTATACGGAGCCAGTCGTAATGGTAATCACACCACTGTATGCATGAGTGTCAGCGAAAGCATCAAAATATGGTGATGATTCTCACTTTTCGACGTTCTTCTCGCTCTTTGTTCATCCTTGCTCTCCATTGTTTGAAGGAATCTTCGTCTGTGACCATTTCCTCATACTGGGCAAGATATTTTTGAACTGTTTCAGGCATCCACCCTCCCAAAGAACCGCAAAACATGGTGGGTATGAGTGACAAAAATTCATTTTTATCAATGAATGGAGGCCGGGGTTGGAACTCGAAAGAAGTCTCTTGAAGGAAGCTTGAGAAAAAATGGGTGATAATGTACGGGATAATCAATGTTAGCATGGCGTACATTGATCTTGAGAATTGACACGCAGAGCAAACCCTCATTTGAATGTCCCAAAAGGTGTTCTGACCACTTGCGTGTGGGACTTTACAGATCTAAAGAAATTTGAGGGCATGTACTACGCATTTAGGAATCATTCTGACTTCACAATGTTTATCAAAAAGGAAGCTTGCATACGATGCCTCGTCCATGCCTTTAATGAGAGGAGGAAGCCCTGGGAGATTGGCTCGAGCAGCCGCCCAGGTCGGGGCGGAGGATTTGTGTAAGAGGAACGTCCGGAAAACGCTGGCTGAATGAAACAGATTAAGCAGGTCTTGAGGATCAAGATGGCGGAGGACCTGCAATAAGTGGCACAAGATAAGTAATTGTCTCTTACCATGGACACAATGAGGATTAGCTGACCTCGCGAACTATGTCTTCAGGCATTTCTAGCAGGTCCTGCAAGCTCTTTGGCGCATCGGTTGATTGTGCTTCAGAGCTACTACCAGCTACGGCAGAGATTGTCTCCGATGCTCGATATGTTGGGATCGCCAACTTCACGTCGGCCATGGCGCATTTCAACCTGTTACTTCGACGTTTGGGAGACGGTTCAATGTCTGAGTGCGATTTCGAGATATTCTTTCGTTTCGCCATTGTTCGCGTCGAGAATAAAACAAAGAAGACACTTACAGACTCAGAGACGCTCAGAAATATGTAGCACGTGCTCAATTACTCACGCTAAGCTCCTCCAAAAAATCAAACATTACAATATGTAGCGTAGCGATGAAAAAGAGGAGGAATGATATTCAGTTCGACTATTAGGAGAATAGCGTAGCTGTAGCTGGCACTAGTCTCTTTATTCTAATACAGTCTACCATCCCTGGCATGTAGGATGAGAATTCGCTACAGCATAGATGGTCGGGCGTCAGTAATAAGCAGTAATATCATCATATCATAGCTCATCAGAGGGTACGGCTGCAGATCCCGGTCTTTGGTGTTTACAGCGCAGCTGAAAGTTTTTCGACTTCGAATGTCTGTAGGCTTCCGGTTATTCGTACTTTTCCTAATATTACAGTGATACCTAGAGTGGAAAAACATGTTCTACTGCTAATCACAACGCCGTTTCGACCGTTCTGCCTCCTGTATTTGCGTCTTGAGGTATTCAACCAATGTTGGACCGATTTTTATCCATTCTGACAGAATGGTTGAGTGTAAGATAGTATGATACACCAGGTACGCTCACCTTGATCAGTCAACTGTTGGGGCTTCTTGACATAAGGATGCTCCGCCAATCGAGGAGGTATATCATCTTCTTTCCATCCTAGCGCAATAAGCCTACCAGTGATCCTACCGAGACGTAGAATATTATATCATTGACTCATGATGAGAAAGCGCTGAATGAGGACGAACACTGTGCATCGAGTGGAGCGTATTTTATCGATTTCTTGCTGGCGTAACTCTATCTGCCTCTTACGACGTTCTGCGCAAATATCAAGCCAGTTTCTATGTTTAAGACTCCACTGTTACATGGAAGTTAGTAAGAAGTCATAAAATGCAAAATCAGCAAAGAAATTCACATCGTCGCGTTGACCACGTTCTTCCTTCATTTTTTCCTTCCACGCCATAAAAGAATCTGTATCTGTGACCATTTCCTCATACTGTGCAAGGTAATCTTGGACGATTTCAGGCATCCATCCTGACTTGTAGTATATAGAGGGTATGAGTGATAAGAATTCCATTTTATCTATGAACGGAGGTTGAGGTTGAAATTCTAAGTAATCCTCGCGTAGAAATCTTCAATAAAATGAGTGATAGCATCGAATGAGGAAAATACAGCGTACGTTGATCCCGCGCCTCGACATGCAGAGCAGATCCTCATTTGAATGTCACCATCAATCTGTTGGTTGGGGCGTTGAACTTGACAGACCTGGATCAAAATGAGACCAGGGCCGTCACCAGGGGGACTGTCTCACCTCGCAATGTTTGTCAAAAAGCAGGCTTGCATAGGACACTTCATCCATGCCCTTGATGAGAGGGGGAAGCTCTGGGACATTGGCTCGAGCTGTGGCCCATAGCGGCGCAGACGAATCTTTCAGAAGAAACGACCGAAAACCTCGGGTAGAATTGAGGAGATTGTGTAGGTCTTGAGGACCAAGATAGCCAAGGACCTTGCAGGTGCAAGTAAGTTGCTACATAGTAAGTGACTCACTACCACACTGGGAAGGCTAACCTCATGGATTATATCTAGCGGCATCTCTGGTAAGTCCTGCAAGCTCTTCAACGCACCAACTGGTTCTGTTTTCGAATGGCTTCCAGAATCCGTAGAGACCTTTTGAGTGACCAATGGCCGAAATACTGGAAATTCACGAACGTTTGCAGCCATTGTACTTTTCAAGCGACTACTTCGACGTTTCGGAGAAGGTTCAATAGCAGAGTCGGGTTCTGGCGCGTTCTTTCGTTTCACCATTTAAAATAGCTGGAAATTGTGGTTCAGAAGGACAGGAGCCAAATTACTCATAGCCAAATTTTCACGCGGACACGTGCCTTTATTTATGTCACATTGGAACCAGGTTATACTATATGCCATATACTGTAAGTAGGCTTTGGAAACCAAGAACTATTCAGTGAATCACTGAAATATAACACACTGAATGAAGATTATGCATTATTCGGTGCAATCATTTTGAGGACCTTCATACAATAATCTGGTGATTTCTCAGATTGACACCACTCTGTTGAGCGGAATTTTTTCTCTTTCCTGAGCGAGTACCAAGTACTACATACTACTGTGTTGATTATGATATTCATACTTCTATAGGATGCTCTAGGCCTCGAGCCCTTGGTACTACGCAGCCTTGGACCATTGCCTATCCCGAAGATTCGAGCGCTCAAGCTTCAACCAAGATTCATGCATCGTTCGATCCGGAGGATTTACAGCTGCAGACGCAGACTCCTATCAAGGATCATGAAATGAGTTTCCAACTTCTTCGCGACGCTCATGTACACCCGGAGGTACCCATCCTCGTAGTCTCTTTCCTCGAAAAAACAATGCCGGAGCACCATGGCTTCCTCTGTGGATAGCAGGCTTTGAGTGAGATGGCAAATGAGTGGGAGTCGGTAAAGACCAACACCAACGAATCTCCATTTCGCCCTTGAACAGTCCTCCGGAGGCTCCAAGGGCTGGATTGTAGATGCATGAGCCAGGAGATGAAGCGGAGCTGGAATCAGTTTCTTCGAACTTGTGTGTACTATCGGCCAACGGAGGAACGTACACCAATAAGAATGGCACCTGTGAGCTCATCGCACGCAGAATGGTGGATTTTGTGAAAGGTGATTCAGAGAGAAAGACGGCTACAACAGGAGTGGATTCTTTTGAAATATTCCCTGAATCATGATCTTTTTCCAACGCCATATACCTCCAAACAACGCCTTCCAACTCCCTCACATACTTGGGCCCTATCTTTTTCTTTTCGGCTTTGCACTGGGCAATAATCCGGATGCGTTTGAATGGATAAGCGCTTGATTGTACATCGTCATTCGTGTTTGAGCTTGCCAATTGTAGAGTACTGTCTGTATCCTTTGCCCCATGTGGAAGCCACCACCAGCCATTTAAGTCCACGCCTCCATCTTCCTTACCGCCTACCCTCCGTAGGACCATGCCCAAATGGGCCTCCAGAAGGTGCAAGCACCGATTCTCGAAAGATGTCCCGCGAAAGACCGTAGATTGGATCTCTGAGGTAGACGCAAAATTTCCAGTGTATGAGCGAGTCCCAAATAGTGTATATGGAAGGGGCGGGGTGTTGGAGAATTCTTTTTTAGAATGTGATCGATACAGGGAGAGGCAACCTGTTGAACAAAATTTGGCACTATTTCTGCGCTTTATGACACCAGCACCAGTTTGCAGCACTGGTAATTTGGACGTCTTGGAGGAAGGAAGGTAGACTCTCGATGCCAAAGTCATGGGAATGCAATGTTGGAAACAGGGAAACAGGTTGGAAAACGCGTTGTTCTTAAGACAACTGACGAATTTTTCCCATCCTGAATGCTTCGTAGGGTTAGATATCATAGGCGTAGTTTTCCAAAATGAAAACATACACTTAGATCTACTGAGCTGTTAAGTACAGTGGTGTCACTGTACCAGTTGTTTTGTAATATGCAGGAGGTAACGAAGTCGTCGCTTTTAGCGCCCACCTGCGTCCCCGGCGTGAAGGTCTTGTTTGGGAATTTCTCTGATTAATTGAGAAGTCTTCCATTTACTTTCTACTACATATGTACAGTGCTCTACAAGCCCAAAGGAGTCGTTGGCTTATCTCACAGGACAGTATGCTTAAGTCCCCAACTCGAACTCCGCGTCTCATTTCCTCTCATTTCTCCTACAACTATGTAATAACCTACTCACTTTCAAACTACAGTAGCAAAGATTATGTTCTTCAAGGTAAGTATATACATGACAAAGTATACATAGAATATATAACAAGTAGTCCTAAATCAAGAGTTAGGAGTAGAACTTTGCGGGGTGTGTGGGATGTCTGTCATCAATTGCATCTCCCGCACTAGGGATGACGGAACTTTGCTTTAATTCTCGAACGAACTGTGTCGTAACCACGCCGATATAGACGGAGGTGACATAACCATGTACAGCGGAGATTTTCGTTCCAAGCTGGATTGCGACACGAATGTTGTAACCAATCTTTGTGTCCAGTATAGCGGGATTCGACAAGGTACTTACCTTCGAAGAGAAGTTGAATGCAGATTAATTATTAAAGGCGGCCGATATACCTGGTAGATTTTCAATTCTCATTGTGAACACCAATGACTGAACAGGTAAGTTGCCGTGAGCATCATCCAGCAGACAGACCCTCGTCATGATTGATTGTCGAAGTGAGATCATCCGAGTCCTTGATTGGATATATCAGTATATGATGGTGGAAGTCTCGCAAGCATCTCTTGTTGCTGTCGTTTTAAATCCTCTACAGTCCTCCTCAATTCCCTGATTTCCCTCTTCCGGGAAGAATGGGTTGAGGAAGGAGCAGAGCTGGAGGTTGCAGTAGACCCGTTATTTGCCCGTCTACTACTTCGTCCCGCCCTAGAGCTCGGCGTAGCTGTATCTACCCGTCGATTACGGGATCTGCTATTTGAGCTTGTTTCTGAAGTGGTGGTATTTTCGGCAAAGCGAACAGTAGTGGCAGGTGGTGCAAAATTGGCGTCGAGTGCAGGAGGACTGCTATAGCCTTCTGATGTCATATGGTAGCTGGATCCAGTAACACCGGTAATTATAGTGCTTGGGTATGTAACGGAAGTTTCTGATCGCTGAGGATTCAAGTTGTTTGTGGAGTGAGATTCTAGAGGTAGTCGGCGCAGAGGTTGTAAAGGGAACGGTTCTATGCGGGTCTCGTCTTGACCATAATCCCAGGACCGCGACGACGAAACGTATTGCTTTAGCATACGAGGACGGCGCTTGTAGTGGCGGTACCATAACACCAATGCGATAATCAGAATAAGGAAAATGGTTCCGCCAACAGCGGAGCCAATTATAGCGGCAACTGCGGGATGGGGCATTGCTGTCGGTGAAGGACTGGCTGAGGAAATGATAGTAGGCGATAAATCTGGTGTGCTAAGTGAGGTGCTAGGGATGCTGGCACGGCGCAGATCGATTTAATTGAGGAGCGAGGCGCAAGATTGAAGTAAGGGCTCACGTATACATCGCATAGTCAAACAGCAATGTCGAATTGACAACCGTCGATGCGGCCAGCATGACGAACATATGAGGAGCCAGGGTCAAGTTTTCCAAGGACAGCACACTGGTGTTAAACAAAAAGACATTTGACGAGTCGCTTTCATGTGTAAACGTTTGCTCGAGGGGTTGGCCATCCAGCTCAAACGTGAGATTGTAGGTCGAAGTGAGTCCTGGATTGGAGGGGTTTGGGATTATGCAGAACACATCCAGGGAAGTACCTATCATCAGACGATTTCGATTGGTTGAGCTCGTAATAGAGGTGGATCTACGTACCTGTGAAGCCGAATTGAACTGACCTTGTCTCGTCGGTCGTATGATGCGTAGTATCATACCACGATTGATTAAATGCTCGCTGAGCATCTGGATGAAATCCACACCCAGTACAGTCCGCACCCTGTGTCCAACCATTTACAGGATTGTATGTTGGGAGCGTACCAGTGACCAAGTCCCCGAATTGGTCGTCGATATACCTAGTTTCCATGTCTCCGTGAACCAGCGTAGAACTAAAGAACAGTGGATATCAAAGTCGAAAACGTCGTGGATTGAGGTCCATAATAAGGTGCAATTGAGTTCTGGAAAAGATGAATCATCGGAATCAGAGGCAACTCAGAGGCAGTATCGTCCGTAACAGCCTTGTTTCCTTATAGACGTCTAATAATTTTTGTTACCAAGTGTAAAGTGATAGTCGCCAGCCTCGTCGCTGATCCGCATACGGTAACGACATAGCCCTTCGGCTCCAGCGTCTCTAGTCGAATTCATCTCGACTCGTCGTTGAATCGCAAACACTGCACGGTGTATAAGAAGAAGGCCGAATTCGAAGCTAGCGGGAATTCATTTCACTGAGCCGTGACAATTGCCTGCCGGCAATAATTTTGAGCAACCTTCCCAGTCCCGACTTCCATGTCTCTCCGGCGTGCTGCTCTTCGCTCTTCGTCCATTCTACGCCAACACTCTTGTTTGATAGCTCACCAGAACTTTATTTCTGCTCGTAACACGAGCATATCCCCTTCCTTCCTGGTACGGACGTACGCAAAGGCAGGAAAAGGCGCGAAATCCACTGCCAACCTCGTACCAAGGTCCAAGCAGCCTATAACAGACCCCGAGGCTCAAGAAGAGTACGCCAGCGCCGAGCAGAAGATGACTGCTGCTGTGGACTGGTTTCGACGAGAATGCGCCTCAATTGCGACGCGTGCTAACGGTCGAGTCACTCCTGACCTGCTCTCCTCTGTTCGCGTCAGATTTCCCAAAGATGAACATGCGTTCAAACTCGAGGAAATTTCCACAGTGGGTGTACGGAATGCTTCAGAACTTGTGATTACTGTGTTTGAGGAAGAGGTAAGTTGGTTCCTACTTGTTGATTAGACTGCTCAAAAATAAGAACATTGACATGCCTCTTACTCAGTAGTCCCTCAAACACGTCGAGCGAGCTTTATACGACGCTAAGCTTCCTGGTTTGAGTTCGTTTCAAAAACAAGACAGCCGAACATTGAAAATTCCCGTACCCAAGTACGTTCCTTCGTCGTACAGAATTGATGACCTGTTATTGAACCGACTACCACGACAACAGACCAACGGTGGAGGCTCGTAAAGCGTTATTTGCCGCTGCTGAGCGGCAAGCCGAAGACACCCGAACACAGATACGAAGACACCACCAGGCTAGCTTGAAGAGGGGCAAGTATGAGAAGCATTCTGTCGAGTTGGACGAGGTAAGCTCCTCTTCCCGTTTCCAATTCCCCTTAACTTACCTTCCACCCGACAGTTTCAAAAACTCACCACTCGCTTCGTGAACAATGTCGACACAATTCTCAAACAGTTGAAGTAGTCGTAGCTACAGAAAATGTCATTCAAAAAATAGACTAGCCAAGTACATATCTAAGTTTAGTCTAAGTTCTGTAGACGAATAGAGCAATATGTCAAGCACAATGCCTTCTAGGCGGTTAATGTATATTAAAGATTGGTCTTCGAAATATGGAAGCAATTTAAGAGTAGAATTGAAAACAGTATACGATACGTTAGAAAGTCCAAGAAACGTTCTGCTTGAGTTGTTCATTCAGCATTGGCATTGTTGATTTCGACTTTGGCAATGTCCTTCGCTTTGCCGTTATTGAGTAGCCGACCCCAACCATCAAGGCCAAAGAGTTCTGCGAGCTGTTTGACAGTCATCCCTGTGTAGGATCAAAATTAGTAGCTGAAATCCACTCCAATCACGGAGACTTACGCCGTATTTTCTTCGCCGTTCCTTCACCGAGACTCCCATCCGCCAATATTTGCTATGGCAATATTGAACGTCAATTACAAGAGGTGTGGATATTTTCACTGACCTTTCGCTCCTGCATTACCAGCATTCTATCTTCAATAGTGCGGTCGACGACCAGACGATGGACTTTGACAGGCAAAAGTTGACCCAGTCGGTGCACACTAAGATGAAATCAGATATTGAGTTGATGAAATGATATAGCTAGACGCATACCGGTCAAAAGCCTGATCCTCAATCGCTTGGGACCAACCAAGGTCCAACGATATAACATTGTTGGCACGAGTGAGGTTGAGGCCGACTCCTAATATGGATACCGTGTCAGGTCAATTTATACGACATTGTAAGGAAGTACATACCTCCACACTTCAGCGACAAGAGCATAACTCGTGCTTTATCCTTTGACATGAACGACCGCACAGCGGCATCTCTCTTGTTGCGATTCATGTCGCCTTGGTACTTGACGTGGAGAATATGGTTCTCTGTTAGATATTGCGAAACCAACGACAAACAGGAAGTCCACTGCGAGATAACCAAAATCTAAGGAGAAAATTAGTACCCATACACTGGAGACAGTCGGGAGGACTTGCCTTTTCCTCAGGTCGATCCAAGAATAACTGGCGAATATGTTCCATCATATACTGTAGATAAGTAGTGAGACCATCGGATATGTTTTATCCTAGTACAACTGTCATACCTTCATCTTGGTCGAAGGTAAAAACCTGGGGAGGAGTTTGATCGCTTCTGGAGAAAGCTTCTTGACATTGCTCTTGCCAAAAATGACCTCCTTCTCTTCGTCTGATTCTTCCTCGTCCGAGTCAAGGATGACCCTGGCCTTACGTTTGCCGAGACACTTTTTCAGAGCCTTGCGAACTTCCTGCTCTTCTTCATCATCGTCACTTTCTACAATAAAGTCACTCATGTCATCGTCATCGTATTCGTTTTCATCGTCGGTCTCCGAAGCATCGACATCGATAAAATCGTGAAAAACCAGCGATCTTTTGACCTTGCGACTGGACCTGGAGCTGGTTACCTTTGCTCTGCCCTTACCCTTGCTGATCGTTACATCGACGTCGTCCATTTCTATGTCAGAATCTTCGCCTTGACCACCTGCCTCTTTCAATTCTTCGTCTGTTGGCATGAAGGCGGCTTGTTCGAATAGAAGTTCTTTCGATATCGGGGTACGACAGGCAGGACCTAGACGATGATTAGTGGAGCGTCCGAACAGAGTGGTTAGATCTTAACTGACATGGACGTTCCGTAACTTGATGTTCACCAACCTCGTTCGCAGGTACGACGAATGGAGCGTTGAAAACATCATCTACGAACATGAGCAGATTTCAAGAAATGGTGTATGAACAGTAACGTACGGATGCACTCTTTACAAAAACTGTGACCACAGGAGGTGATAACCGCGTTGGTAAAATTGTCGTAGCAAATTGGGCAATCATCTGTTTCGAAAGTAGCGTCCTCCGACTGGCATTGTCCAATGAACGTTATGTATATTGAATAAAAAGGAGCTGTTCGTACCTCTTTTTCAGCCCTCATTCTTTCAAGTACAGCTTCTCTGAACTTCGTCTTCAGTTTAGTAACGAATTCCTCGGAAACCAATTCCCGAGCTCTCTTCAACACTCTCCCAGCGTCGTCAAGTTCGTCGGGAGCCACAAAGGCTACGCCGTCTTCTTGAATCAAGGATGGATGCGCACAACATTGACGAAGTCGGAGGAGAAGAACTAAGACGTGATGATAATTCCTGATATAACTAGATTAATGAAGGGCTTTCCAGAGATACTTGAAGGGTACTCACTTAAGGACGGTACCTGCTCTCAAGAAGCGATTGAACTGGGTTTGCATTCTCTTTTCGACCTAAGTTTAATCTCGTGGATCAGCGTTGAAAACCTCGAAACCGACTAGACCTACCGCATCATAAATTTCGCGTTCTTCCTCCGTGAACTCTAAACGCTGAAGCGTGATTTCCTTGGTGGGCAGATCGATCAGAACTTTGCCATCCAGCTTGGAGTTCTTCTTGCGTCGAAGGACAAAGATATTGAGAATAGCTTGCAGTCGAGTGATTGCGAGTTGCGCTACGCGAGTCATGAGCGTCGAGCATAAAAAAACATCTATGTGAACTTCCGACTCACGGTTCTTTCTCTCCAGCTTGCCAACTAGGCTATGAAATTCTACAAAATCGTGCCATGGTCGAATCTGAAGGAATCTAATGTAGGGATAGGTATCGGAAAGCCCATTGATAATGGGTGTACCAGTGAGACACCAGCGATACCTCGCCTTGAGCGCGGTTACTGCACGAGACACTCCTGCAAAAACAAGGAAAACGATTAGAACCAAGAAAGTGCTCTCAAATTCGGAAACTCACTTGTTTTCTTATTTTTGATCCCCTGTGCTTCATCAAGGACGATTCGGAAAAACTAAAATGCACAGGTCAAGATTGAACAACTGTAGAAAAAGAAACAGCTCACCTCGATTTGAAAAAGCAAACCAGCTATTTAACGAGTACAATGTACATGTCAGATCGTGTATCAATAAGCAGTTTGACAGCTTGCCTTCTTGACTCTTATCTTTCTTCTGCGTATTCTCATTGACAGAATCAGACATGATGGGATCATCTTTTTGAGCCTTGGCTTTCTTTTTCTTTTTCTCTTCTTGTTCAATATCAGGCCATTCCAAGGCCATAGTCTAGATATAATGAGCAGGGAATATGTATCGATGAATGTTCGCGCATACTTGGAAGGTGGTAAGGACAACGTCATATTTAAGGAGATCCTTGGCCCGTTTCAGTTTGGAGGAACCTGGAATCAAAGAATCAAGATGAAGGTGAACACCCAACTACACAAGGACGAACCGTGATAGATCAACACTTTCAGACCGATATTAGTCTTAACCTCTATCTCCATCTTCCATTGATCAAGGAGGGCGGTAGGGGCGAGAATGAGAGTAGTCCGACGACTGTTGTCGTCCGGTCTGTTTTTCATCATCAAGGCTATCCTGAAACATCATTGTAAGTCTCATGAGTAGTCTATTCATGTTCAGAAGATCTGATTCACATTTGGACGGTCTGGCATAACGAATAGGTCAAAATGTGCGAAAGACCAATACTGTTAACTTACCTTGCCAAGGCCCATCTCATCGGCTAAACAACCACCCTTGAGGTTACTGTTCTCCTTTTCAACCATCCAAGCGACCCCGATTACTTGATGTGGCATTAATGCAACTGCCATTCCCGGCAGAGGAGTGGCTAACGTAGGGAGACCGAGCTTGTTCAAAGCCGCTTCAACGGTCGCATTATGGTCGAAACTCTCGGAATTACCAGCTTCGACCAGGAATTTGCCGATGCTAGGAAAAGACGATGGTCAGTATAGGCCGCAGTTCGGTTTGTACCTCAAATGCGACTTACTCATCCGGTTTGGCAATTGGACCCTGGAAATGATCTTTACCGCGACCACGAAAGTTGCCATCTCCATCGTAGTCATGGTCGTCTTGTACGATCGGCGCGACATTAGGAATATAAGTACCTGCAAACTGCATAGCGACCTCGTTCGCCTTGGCAGTTTCGTTCGTGCCTGCATAATCCATCTCTGCATCGCCAGATTCATCCTCGTAGCCTCCGTCGTAATTGTGAAGGATGTGACCTGGAATATATGCTGGCTGCTGAGCCTGCTTACTAGGACCTGCAACAGCATTGACCTGGAGAGGAGGAGGCACACAGGGAGGAACACCATCCGAGTTAATGGTGACCGGAAATGCAGCGAGAGGCGCAGGAACAGGTTCTGGGAGTGAATGGTTTCTCGTGGTTGAGGATGAAGCAAATAAACCTAACGGGGCATGCGCAGTCTGTGCATACCATGGAAGCGCGCTATGCCCAATTTCCCCGTCTTCACCGAAAGAATAGTGAGGTGCAACGTTGGACATAAAGGGACTCCTTTCCACCGGCAAGTGACTCCTGAACTCGCCTTGCAGAAGATCAAGGGATGTTAGTTCATCTACGTATCTCTGGATGAGCATAAGTTCGGCAGGGGTTCGCGAATCTTGACGAAGCAGCCCATCCAGAATGTCCTGCTTGAGGAAGATTTCAGCTTGCAGGTTGTCGATTTTCCCTTGAATATCATCCACGTCGAGTGCAGCATGCGGGATCACACCCGTAGGAGCAACTATGACCACATTGGTACTGACCCCCAGAGGTGCCCTCGACGTGAGCTCTGTTTTGAGCTTCTTGGCAGGAGGGAAAATAGAACCTGATGACCTCATTGGGGAGGGCAAGAAATCCAAGTTATCGGTGTCGAGGCTTGGAGAGCGTTTGCGAATACCTGGAGAAGATGATTGGGAGGCGGGAGACGGAGAAGAGTTTGAGGAGCCCTCGAATACGTCCTCCTTAGGCTCCGCCTTGACGAGGGAGAGGCGTGGCTGATGCAAGGATATGGTGTTATGAGGGGGATCAGGCGAAGACGATAGTGGGACTCGACTTGTGTTCAGGTCAACTGGTTCGTTCTTCACCAATAATCCATTTCTCGATAATGACTACATGAAGGAACGAACGCGGTCGTAAGTCAGTACATAGCAAGACTGCGGATAATTTGACTCTGACCATGGAGGAAGATATCTTGCTGTGGTCATGGGCAGTTTTGATGCGGAGGAGACGGCTCCGGCTATGTGTTGGATGTTGGGCTATATGCGCCTGAACCAAAATCAACGTCGGTATATATTAGAGCACCAAAACTAGACATACCCTGTATGCAGAGAGAGACCCTATGCCGATCTTCCTTCCGCCGTCAGAGAGTGTTGGGTTATGTTGGAGTTCGATCTGGAAGCGATCGCAGCCGTCCTCAAGACAAGTAACTTTTCCAACTGCATTGAGAAAAATAAAGAAGAGTGAGAAGGTGTAGATAGTAAACACTGCCACTACTCACATCCACGGTTTGGCTGGCTTGATAGTTCGAACTAACCGACGACATATAGGGGCGATCAGCATTCTCGCACGCGTCGAAATAAAAGCTGAAGCATACAGACCTTTGTATCGTCAGGATAGATAGCCAAATGTTTAGAGAGTTCGGTGAGATAGTCTTGAGGAATTAGGTCACGCTGCAATGTCGCGAAAGAGACCACAATGAAAAAAGTCGCGTAAGAGAGTTTTCAATTGGAAAGAGGGGTGTAACTCGTACGGAAGCATTGTCTGGAAGTCCTAGATGCATTCCCGCCAGCCTGAGTGGGATATTAGAGGTCGACATGGTGGTTGAGAGGCTACCCATTTTTGTGGGTCAAATGTTTTATAGGAGTACAGTAACTCCGCTACACGCTCAGAGGCGCGGAGTCGGGGGCAAGTGGTACGGGTCACGTGACCATCATGAACAAAACTTTTCATCAAACCACCATGACCTCGCGATGATGCGCCACTTATTACCGTAATAGGCAACTCCCCGGATGACTTTTTCAACGATCTCATTGCAAGTATTGTTCACCTATAGTCACTCTGCGCTATGATGCAACACTACTATTGGAGATATATCAATCGGCTCAATTTGGGTTTCGAAGACGCGTTTAGGATGATACTAGACTAAGAGAGTTCTAGAGCGTATCTATTCATCTAGTGTGACATCGCAAAAATGTTACCATCTACCTGAGCTTTGGAATAGAAACTCTTCTGATCATAAGCTTGAAAAAGAGGGAGTTTGGCAGCGAGTACAAAGGTAGTAAAGGAAGTTGTCGTCTACGGCCTTCCACCTCCTTCCACAGCGGTTGCTTTCACATCTTTAGACGCGTAGTATGATTCCTTATGAATCACGATTCATTTCAGCGCGTTTATCATCCAGTTGACGATCTCATCGCTGACAAGCAATAAGGACCTTACCTCTCGCCTTCGCGGTCCTTATCTGAACCGCGCGATCTTTCAGCCAAAGTGACCGTACGGATATCGACTGATATCGATCATGCAGTTGTATGAATCAAAGGCTCAAAGTTGAAGGTAGGCTCATTGTGTTCTATTTATCATGGTATTCGGCTTTTACTGGTGGTGTTACAGACATTAATGGGAGGTTGCTGTCAAAGATTCATCGCTGAGCAAGGAATCAAGACGTCCTCAACTTCTGCTCAGGCTGTACTCCTCGTGCACTTAGATATGGAGATGGCATTTCGCAATGCTATGCTCATCCTTCACCACACACTCGTCTGTGCACGGAGATTCTCCATCATGCTTTGTGCTTTTTTCAGTTATCAGCTTGCTGAATCTAATTTCACCGAATGAATGGCGTCGACCAGACAAGACCCGAATCCGAAATTGGAATCCCTTTCATCGATGACATTGTATGCTCTAAGGATCAGCACTACATTGCTTTGAACACTTCCGAGCTACCATCCAGTGCTAAACCGCAGCAGATTGTTCACCCTTTATCGCTCTTTGTCACATATCCTGTCTTTGCTTCGCGATCGAATCCCACGCCTTTGACGACGTTTTCGCGTCAATATCACTTCGGTAAAGGGAGATGAAAGCCCTCGAAAGGCACTTGGGCAATGAATAGACGCGTAAAAACACCGCGTTTTACACAGAGTAAGAGCCGAAGAGAGGTCGCAACTCTTGACTCGAGGGCTGGGCGAAGGGTTCACAGATTATTGATCATGTGATAGGGCGAAGGGCTGTTTTGGTACTGATTACTTATACAGTCTTATCGTGATGGAGGCCCAAATTCACCCTTCCCAGAACTATATACTGGCACTGTATTCCCAACGTACAGGACATCCTTTCGCGGATACGAGCTCGGGCTAACGCACGGAAGAGACCAGGAGAACCACAAAGAAACTTGTCAAAATAAAGAGTTAGTGGCTCGGCTGTCCGTTGTACACGAGGCGTTCCTAACTTTATCTCGCTCCAGTATTTCCCATCCGTCAGTATTAAAATTTTTTCGTTAATCTTCGCCCGCCCTTTGCCCAAACTTATTTAAACCGCAGTCATCCAGACTAGAGAACGATTATCACTTCCCCGATGTTCAGTATCTCTAAACGGCCAACTGTGGCCCGAACACCAACTCGGTCTGAACAGGTCCGACTTCTCTGGGTCGACTTCGAATTGTGGCACGTCGCTCAATCGCAGGAGATTGAAAACAAGATAAAAGTCGCCCTCAAGGACTTAGATCAGAAATGGCGCACGAAATCCCGTCGACTCAAAAAGGATTCAAAAGAGCTGGAAGAAGAAAAAACCAAAGCACGCCTTGCATTGGAAAATACACTGGATGGTAATGTGGTACGACAAGAATGGGAAAGGCGACTTAGCAATGCAGGCTTGGTGAGCGAGGATTGGGTGGATATAACAGACGAAGAGCAGCGGAAGGTAGAAATGATTCTTGGGGCTGACCTCGAGTTCGAGGAAGATGATCACCGTCGCTTTCATGAATCGTATGCTGTCGTGGACCCCAATTCGTTCCATTCCCTTGATGATGCATGGCTAGAGGTGGTATGTGTTCTGCTTTGACTTGTCTTTACCTACTCATCTGTCACGATAGAAGCAGACTCTGCGAAGCGACGACCAATTATCATTGAATGCTTCCACTAGTTCAGCTTCGTCTATTTCTGAGGCTTGGAATGGTCCAGCTTATGCTTTGTGGTCGTCCGAAGCCTCTCGTTCGTCCGCTCAAAGCTCCCAAACGAGTTCTCCGGAATGGCCGAACAAATACTTGGCCTCAGATGCTTCTTCTGCATCCTCGTCTCGTCCCTCCACCTCTACATCCATGTCTTCGTCTTCTCATTCTCGATCTAAATCACATGGACATTACATTGGCCCTCAACTGACCTCAGACACCGACGAGGACGAAGAAGCATCATTCGAGAAATGGAAGCTAGCCCTTCGAATTCGAAAGATCCGCGAGTTTCATGACGACGCTGCCGACGCTGATACCCGGCTCACTCTGGATCTGGACGAAGCACGACGGACGAAAAGCTGGAGCAAAGAGGACGAGGCTCAGCGTGTTCGTGCTCATGAAGTTGATATGCTCGCTTTGAGGGAACGTAAGGAAATGGAACGCAAGGCAGATGTTGATTCAGAGAGACAAAGGCGAATGGCAGAGCTTAGGCAGCCGCCGTTGACTGAACGGGACTATAACACTACAGCGCAAAAATTCCTAAAAACTCTCCACCTGGAACGAGATTCTCCTTCCATTTCCGACACCCCTACTATTCGCCAGTCTGCCTTTGTCCGAACGCGGAAGCAATCTCTGAGTCACCTTCAGCAGCAGGAATGGCCAGAATCAGGAAACGATACACCCACGCCTACAGCCCGGACCTCCACATGGAACTTCAAAAAGGAAAATCCTGCATCTGCAGCTTCCACTCTTGGTGAAGCACCACCGCTGAAGAGACTTTCGACTGCCCCTGCGCATGTTACGTCTACTTCCGGTTCGAAAGTTTCCCCGCCCTCTATCTTCGGCGAAAGTGTTTCTGCCGGTAATTCCAAAGTTACGGTGGGACCGACTCCGGGCCCTACCGCCCAAGTCTCAACGAAAAATGCCCTCAACACAGTCGTCTCTGTGGCCGCGTCTGTGTCTTCTTCCAGCAAAAAGTCGAAGAAGGAGAAGGAGAAGGCAGAGAAAGAAAAGGCGAAGGCAGGCAAAAAAGCGAATACCGCACCAGTCGAGAGAAACGAAAGTAGTAACGCCGAGACCAGTCCGCGTAATAACGAGACAATCCCAGTGGGTATGACTATGCCTGGTCAGTGGGGATGGGGTGGGGACCTTACTGTTGCATCCACGTCCTCTGTTGCTCCGGCCGTGACAGGAAAACCTTCCTCGACCTCGAATGTCTCCTTCCTTGCCTCCACTCCCTCGGCTTCATCCGCTACGACGCTATTATCTTCATCTCATCCATCCCCTTACTCTCACCCCTTCGGATCATCCAGCACATCCAATACCTCGTTACCTGCTCATTCGTTCAGTGCTCCTCCTGCGGTTTCATTCCCGATAACTACTGCTCCCACGATCAAAACCCAGGCTTCTCATGTGCACGCCGCAGTGCCTGACAATCGTCGGGTATGGCTCCCCCCTAGTGCTTTGGAAACAAGTTCGAACAGTAAAAATATGAAGGGAAAACAACCCATCCACACTATGCTCGAAGTTCCGGCCCCGGCACCAGCCACTCAAATTCACAAATCTACTTCAGGTCCTGTGAATTTAGCAGGAATCAGTCCGAATTTGAGCACTGGGGCTGGAATGCTTGATGTTCCGATGCCCACCCATATTCAAAAGTCGGTTTCTGGGCCCCCTGATGTTAGCTTAAAGGTTGAATCTACTGTGTCCCCAGCAGTGACGGCTGCGGTACCGACTTCCTCAATTAGTCAGGGAGGACAGCCAAACAGTCGAGAGAGTCACAGCGTCAAACCTGGCGTCAAAGCTGCGCATACCTCCTCGGTGCCTCCAGCACAGCCAACAGGTTCTTCTGCTCCGGTCGGCAGCACGGCCCTGCCTCCATCCTCTTCTTTACCGTCATCTTCGTCTAAGAAGAAGTCGAAAGGAAAGAAGAAGGTGACGATCGAAGAAGCTCAGGATGAAGAATCCGCGAATGTTTCGAAAGGGAAAGGCATCGAGCGGCTTCCTGTCGACTCGAGATACATCATCGAGCCCATCTCTGAGCCGGAGGCGCCCAAACCAGTCGTCGCTGAACCGCAAGCTCAGGAGATGTTTAAAGATATATTTGAGTATGACGGCTTGAAGGCACTGCCGATCTCAACCTCAGCTTCAACCTCCTCATTAGCCTCTGAGAATCTACATCAGCAGAGCGGTTATAATGTTTGGGCCCCTCCCATAGCGTCGACGGCATCATCCTCATCCTCATCGTTACCACAGAATGATCATGCACGCTGGATTCCGAACGGCGGAGCTCATGAATCTTTCGCAATTCCCGATAAACAAGAGAAGAAAGTGCGTTGGACACCCAATGCGTATACGTACGATGCACCCAACGTCCTTGAACAAGGACAACAAGATGTCTTCTTATCTGCGCTCGACTCCCTCGAAGCAATAATCAGGGATGAAAACGGGGGTGATTCATTAGATGGCCACTCTGCAGTGATGATAGGAGCAGGGAAGCGCGACGCTAGCAAGAAGTCTCAGGGTAGAGGCAAAGCGGAGAGCAATTCAGATGATACATTCTGGCAACACGCGATGGCGTCTTTGGGAAGAGGGGGAAGCAACGTTCTGGCTCCGTCAGCGATATGATTTGTATTCTTATGAATATGTGCACCGAAACTCTGAACTGTTGGATAAAAAGTACGTATGATCTAATAGGCCGTCATTGGCTGCAGCTTTCGATGAAATCTCGTTATGTATTTTATTTATGCTTTACTATGTTCTACATACTTAGGATTGGACCTTTGGCGTTGCGCTTTGTTTTATTGCTTTGCTTTTGCTTTCAGACCCAATGAAATTTCCTTTTACATAACAACTCTGAAAGCAAGTTGAGAAATGCGCAGAAAGATGGGTTTCAGCATATACATATAAGGTTTTGTGCAATGCTAGGACGGTCAGTGTTACAGACACAGGATGTGGTGGGAAGTTAGGTTAATTGACAAAATTTTACCTTGCTTGGCTGGCTGTTCTCGGATTGGAATAATTGACACAGTTTCGTTCCATATCGCAAAAGATCGCAAATATTGTATGCCACAACATGACTTGCTTCTCGGCCCAACCTTATTCAATATTCAATATTCAATGCCCAACCACCTCATCCAAATGTCACCTCAAAGATGTATAGTACCTTCATCTTATGCTCTGGTCTACGTTTTGTGCTCTGAAGTCTCTTCATAAGAAATGATACTTCCTCAGCTTCCATCAACATCCTTGTTGAAACAAAGGCAAGTCAGTGTCTAGGCATGAGGCCCTTTCCCAGTTCGAAAGATATTTAGTAATTTACAAGACCCAGGTGATTGCATACTCTGTGGATGTCGGTGGCGCTCCAGGGATGTTAAATTAGATTCAAGCAGGATTCAAGCTTCCCGCGGGATATCGACGACAACTTCATGAAGCCAAAATCCAGAATACTAGCATCAAAGCCACAATACTCAGCACCTTCCCAACGACCTTTCCAACAAGCGCAACCGTTGTCATCTCATGATTGTCTACCACTCCAGAGCCTGTGGACCGATACGACGGGGTTAAAAACATCTGAGTATCCAACTGCGAAGACGTATAGACTGAGGTCGATGAAGAAGATTTGTATTCGTTCTGGTGGTTGTCAGAAGGGAGAACTTCGGGCGTTCCCAGCGAAGAATCGTCCAAGAAATTCCGTATGAGTTTCAGGACGTAACTTCGGAAGGATTCTACATGGGGCGCCGTTTGAGCTTGTACAGAATTATCCTCGTCGTCTGGATCCGTATTTGGGTCGACGGAGGAATTTGAAGACGATGATGAGGGTGAAGGAGAATGGAATCTGGATCGATAACTTTCCCCTTTGACAATCTTCCTCCCGTCTATGGGATATTTTTGAGGACGCGTATTGGCAGTGTTCATTTGGGATGTCAGAGCGGTGGGAGATGCAGGAGACGCCAGTGAAATTATAGTCTCGGGATGACAATATGCTGAGCATGACGGGCATTGATTTGATGAACCTGCAAGCCACTAAATCTGGTGTCAGATGCGGATTCCTTGAGGAAGTGTATTTGAACACACATCATGTATATGGGCTTCGCAAAACAGTTTTCCGCAACATTTCGTTCTGGATGGGCGCTGAGCTAGGTGAAAGCTACGTGTTTCTCAGTAAAGGGCGCAGATATGGATTACGCCCAAGACTGACCATATCATGCAGTCTCTATCTATACTGGCCTGCCTCGCATTCACTGACGCTCGCTTTAGTTTACGACCATCATTGGTCAAGATTGACGAGGATCTCGTCCTCGAAACAGGAGCCAGTGTCCATCCAGATGCATCTTTTGGAGTACCAGCGAGCGATTCAGTGCCAAGATTAAGACTAGGAAAGTCACAGGGCTCAAAATCCTCTAAAATGGTGGCAAGGTGGAAGGAACGATTCGGAAATGAAGCCAAACGAGGCAGTCGACGGATTGAGGGAGCAGCAATAGACATGATGGTCGTTTACAATCAAGGACCAAGGTTGGTGCCAAACAAGGGTAAGCGGAAGAGGGGTAAGTCTGACAGCATTACTTTATGAGTAACTGAATATCACAGACCTGGGTTTTCATCACTATCATATCTATCAGGATAGAGATCCTGAACACAAGGCTCTTCAGTTCTCCTCGGGCTTGAATTCATTTTGCTGTAAACACAATAAGGAACAAGAGGACAACAAAAGCGAGGCGCAGAGTGGGGGAAGTTAACGTTGTTAATCAAGGATGCCTTCGGCTGAGGTATAAAATACAAAAGCAAAGCCTCGAATTCGGAAAGACCTGGTCAGCTGTGTTCATTTGATGTTTCGTGCAAGTTTCATGTGAAAAACAAATAACTTTTCTTGCTCTTGGCGCCGTTGGGCAAGACTGTTCTGCGGCGGGCGGCTGCGTTGAGCACTTGCACGCGTATCTACATAACTATTTACTGTCTTGCAGGAAAGAAATTGAACAAGGTGAAAGCGGAAGATTTTGGAATGGGAACAGAATGGGAAACAGAAGATCCTCATTGACCTCGAATAGGGTAGATTAAAATCTCCGTCAAATTTTCAATTCGACCTTAGCACAGTACTACTACAAATATATCTCCACCTTCCATTCAAACTCCCATTTTGTCCTGCTCATCAAGATCCGGCTTCTCCCGCTGGTGAAAGACTGGTCGACGAAGACTTATGGTTTGGTAACGAGTCAGGTTGTGATGTCCAATTTTGGCCCGTGTTCAACGTTCAACACACAGGAAGCGTGAACTGAAGGAGAGAATTGGCTCTTGCACTGGTCACAGGTGAGTTGCATAGAAAGAGAATGCGACGATGTCATCCTAATGTATGTACTTAGTTCTTAGAAACACATTGATTTCACGATCTTTCTATGATGTACATTCGCCCTGTTATTCTGCAATAACAGCTAGTTCCGTGGACTACTTCCGAGGGTTATACACTGTCATCTCGAAGCCACCTGAATATGGAAGAGTTAAACTATGGAAACCGCTGTCCGGTGCTTCGAAGTAGTCCAACAACTCCTTATAACCGGCAGCAGCCGTGAGTGTGTGATCAGTCAGTATCACCGCTCCAGGCCTCAACTTTGATTGGATGACTTTGACCGTTGGTAAAGCGAGAGGTGTCCATACTAGAAGATTATTCAATTTTCAGGATCATGGGGTAGATTAATCTGAACAGGGAGAAATCCGAAAGCAACAAATTCAGACTCACTATCGAGCAAAAGCAGATCAACTCCCTGCTCTACATCCGTAGCCAGTGTTTCCAGGAGATTGCCCTCTCGCAAATCGATTTCTGCTTCTACTTCAGACCCGCATTGTGCCCAGTGCTGACGCGCTCTAGCTGCCTTACTCGGTTCATTCTCCGTAGCAATGACCCCGGGCTTGACCTTGGCTCCATCTCGGCTTTTCTTGTTCTCTCTAACAGCAAGAGCGAGGTAGATGGTACTAACACCAAAGCTGGTTCCAGCTTCGATGACACTCGTGGCGCCCATCGCACGGATGAGTTGGTAGACAAAGTGACATTTATCTTCGTCGAGAGCGATGAATTTATCACGCATCAGATCGTCGAGAGAGGCCTTTGAGTTTGAATCATTGTTCAAATATTTGTGTGGCGTAACTCCACCTTCGCCATCAGCGTTGTTCAAGACGTCTGTTGAAACGAAACGAGCTTTATCGCCTTTGATTCGATCTTCCTGCTCGATCGAGAGTTTGTGAAGCTTGTTCAGAAGAGCTAGCACATGTTGTGGTGCTTCAATCGGAGACCTCGACATTTGGATTGGGATGTAAGTTGCTGAATGGATCCTTTTGACTAGGGGCCTTATAAGTATTCAACAGCTTTGACCATGCCTTATTTAGTCTTCCCCGACAGACCCCGTTCGAGCTCTCAGTTCCGAGTCCGAAGTCTAATCCCATTCTCTCTCATTAAAACGTTAGTCAGTCGTTCAAGTGACTTCAGACGTCAGTGGGTACTGGACAGTGGGATGGTCTGGAATGGTACTGGAAGGTGTATAAAAATACTGTGGAGGTACCTACTACAGAATTAAGAAGTTTTGTGTAAGGACGGAGAAAAATAGTCATGAGCCTAGAGCTGGGGCATGCGATATGTACAAGAAAGTAATTCATCCGTTGTTGACGCATCTTCTGACCGCAATATTTTATTTTGGTATCAGTGCTGGTTCTAATTTGAACTCATAGCGCAGGATCATGAAAGGTAATCACTGCCAGTACAACCTCAATCAGTGTTCGAGTACGCAAACATTATGAACACTTCGAGAGTTGTATTCGCAACAATCCTTTTGTTTTAAATCCTTTGTGATATCACTGTAGTCCTCCGTGACGACCCTCTAAGCTTCAAACTCAAGAAACTGCAAATCTTGATTTGGCTCTAAGCCTCGGGCCAATTCTTCGATACACAAACGGTAATGGTACCGTCAACGTCATGACTCCCGCTAATAGTGCCGTCGCACCGACCGTGCCTAACCCATCATACATGTAACTGGCAAACAGCGGAAAAACCGCGGCGAACGTCGACCGCATAGCGCTATTAGATGCCATAGCGCTGGCTGCGATAGGACGGTAGGCAGTGACGAGGTAGGTGAAAACACACGTGAAGACAAAGTATATCCCAGTACCGAAGAAGATGGAAGCAATGATGGGAACGATCCAGTGAACGGACGAGTAGGTGGTGAAAGCGAGGAAGTAAAGACCTAGATATGAAAAGGTAAATACGGGAAATGAGTCCAAGAAATTTTGGATGCGAAACGGAAATGAAAAAGTTACCCAGTGGAGTGAGTATACCACCGACTTCACCCATGTACAAACGAGCCTCTGGAGGAGCCACGCCGCCGTTCTTCTCAGCTTCTCTTGCGAACACCCTGAAAGATGGAAGAATCAGCACGATGCGTTTCAATTTAATGGTCACGGTCAATGCAATGACTGCTCACCGATTCCAGTACGGCTGGGAGGCAAGTCCGCCCAACATTCCTAAACCGATTCCCAAAAACGCTAGGCCAGTTTCCTGCGTGTTAAAGCCGTGGTTTGTCTCAAAGATGATTGGAAACGCTTGGAAGGCAAGGTAAAGGATGCCCAGTATAAGAGAAGTCCTAAGTAAAAGAAAGTAAGCGAGACCTATGAATAGCGACTTTATGCGGCATACCAGGTGTTCAAAAGCAGCGCCATGCGATCATATAAAACCAATTCTGCATGCAAGAGCATTGTAAGCTACACTGTGTACATGAAAGCGGGGTACGCATAACTTACGGAACGGTTTATAACAGCTAACCAGGATTGCTTGTCCTAAATTAATTTCGCCCTTCTCGAGGGGTGCGAAGTAGCCTTTGTCTCCTGTGGATTTGCGAAGCCTATCGGGAAGAAATGAAATCAATATAGTGATCATTAGTGGCAGATTTTTTCTAACTTGCCTAATCGCCTTCTGTTTTCGCAAAACGGGAATATACGTTTCAGGGACAAACTAGAGAAATATGATAGGGCTCGATGAATAATGCATAAATTGCGATCAACGTACGATGAACAGAGCGAGAGTTTGAGTAAAGGTCCATATGGTGAGCGTGTAATACGTCCATCGCCAGTTTGTGTTCTGTGGAATCGATGAGCATGTGGAAAGGGATGAAACTAAGCTGCATACCTGATTAATGAATCTACGATAAATCAAGCAACGTTGAAACGCAAGAAAACGTACTCAAATCCTTTTGACTCACCCACTCAATAAGGGTCCAACGACTGGCCCAATGAAGGGACTAATAGTATAAACAGCCATCGGACTGAGATTATGAGTGTTGAGTTGCACAGATTGTTCGTATTTAATACTGACTTTGCGACAGTTTTGTTGTCGAAGAGATCGCTGACAGAGCCGCCGGCGACGCTCAGGAATGTCGAACCACAAAAACCGGTTATAAACCGGAACACGAGATAAACGACTATAGAAATGGACTCGTCAGTTGCATCCCGGAACCCGAAAATAACACCGGTTTTACTCACCAATGTTGGGTGCAAACGCAACTCCGAACGAGAATGCAAATAGCAAGATGAAAGACACCCTGTATATGATGTTCCTGCCATAAACTTCCGACAACGGCCCTGCAAGTAATGGCCCCAGTCCCAGACCTTCTACGAAAAGGCTGATAGCAAGGATAGTGACTTCACGCGAGACATGAAATGTTTCTGACACGCCGTCCTCAGTGAAAGAGGCGGCAGATGAAGCGCAGGTAACGCAAAGGGCTGAGGAGGATATGACGAGGACTATAAGCCATTTTCGACGGCGGGCAAGAGACTGTGGGTGCTCATGATCTTCTAGCGTAACTTCGTATTGTAATAATGACTTGACTTCTAAACTTTCTTCAATGTTATTCTGTACCTTTAGCTGTTGTGATTCAATATCAGGTACGGCAGTTTGCGATCTAGTAGAAGATGAAGAGGACATGACATACGGAAAAGAGAGTTGAAGTGCTGTTGGATCTGTGCTTTATAATTCAAGTTGCGAAAAAGTATTTATGTAATAGAGCTAAGCTTAGAACATAAGCGCCAGTCATTTTATCACCGGGCGCTAAAACTTCGGTTCGTTTGAACCGGGCGTACACCACCATTTGTGTCGGAGCTTCCTGACAGCTTCCGTTGCCGAACTCTCAGAAAGCTACGGTGAGTTGGGCCCGAGAACCTCCATTGCAGCTTCCCTGCAGCTCCCCATCAAAAGCACCCAAGAAGCTTCCCGACACCTCTGTAACATCTCTTTTCTTCATAAGCTGTCAGTTTGACACCGGGGGCAGATTGAAGGGCACCTCGCAGCGAGGTGCCTTAATGGCACCTCAATGGGCACCTCATGATCATGTCAAGTAACTGACAAACATAGTTAAATACCGTTGATATGTATCTTATCCGAATGATCTGTATCTTTTAAATGGAATGCAGAAAGACAGGAATTTCTCCCACTCCCACTCACATTCTCATTTAAAAGTTCGACAAAAACAATTCGCAACTACAGATCATTCAGTTGCACCTTTACAATGCCACCAAAGCCAAAAGTTATCTGCACTTGCAGTATTTGTTCCAAACTGACATGTGAAAACAAACACGGAATCCGAGTTCCAGGCCGCAAAGTGAGTCCACAAACCCGAAATGAACACCTCAAAAAGGATCGAGAGTCTAGAGATAAGGGTAATATTCCCTTTACTCCAGAACCACCAACAGCACCATCCTCAGAAACTAGTGGTAATCAGTTATCAGAGGAAAACACTCCATCTCAATCTCAAAAGGTTCCTGATCTCAGTGCAGGTATGTCATTCAAACTTTGCCTGTATGAAATCTTCAACTCCAACTTCTGATATTATTCTAGTAATAGAACCTGTATTTCAGATGTGTTGGCTCTTGGCTGCATGGCTTAGCCTTTGTGCTGGTGTGAGCAGGAAGACTGTCAACACAGTCTTGAAATGTCTCCACTTGATTATAACAACAATTTTGATTCTCATCTACACCTCTCTTCAAGGTTTAGGCTATGGAGTCAGCACTGTCATTCCTAAAATTGATATTCCAAAGGATATCCACACAGTATATGCTCGTGCTCAGTTAGAGCCTGAACTTGTCCGCATTTTTTGCTGTCCAACATGTTTCACTCAATATCCAGCAGATTCAACTACTAGAAAGTGTACTTGGAAGAAATCACCTAGGTCAAAGCCATGTGGCACTGATATGTGGACAACTAGGCATACTAGGACAGGGCTGAAACAGATTCCAAAATGCCTTTATACAACTCAGGATCTTGGATCCTGGCTCAAGTTTTTCCTCAGCAGACCACAAATTGATGAATGCTTGTCTCAGGCATTTTCCAAATTACAACAACCAAACCCTGTTCATCAGGATAGAATGTCTGATATTCAGGACAGTCCAGCTTGGCAAAGCTTAAAGGGGTTTCTCACCTCTAAGTATCACCTTGTCTTTGCTGTCTATATTGACTGGTTCAATCCCTATACCAACAAAATTGCAGGTAAGCAGCCAATGATTTTGTGCTGTGACTTGAGTTCTGTGGCTGATAAGTGAGATTTCCAGGAAAAGTTGTCTCCTGTGGTGCCATTATACTGTACTGCCTAAATCTTCCTCCAGAAATCCGGTTCCTTCCTGAAAATGTGTTTATTGTTGGAATGATGCCTGCACCACATAGTCCCACTATATGGACTATATCACACATTTTGGTATCTTTCCAGAGAGCTATTGCTGAATTTGACCTTCCTGGAAAGATAATTGCTACACATTCACATCCTGGTGGAATCACCATTGCACTCAGGCTTATTCCTTTGATTGCTGATTTACAAGCAATCAGAAAAGTAGCTGGATTTTTATCTCATGCTGCAGGCTTATTTTGTTCTTTTTGCAACTGTCATAAAGATGACATAGAAGATCTTGATTATAATTCCTGGCAGATGCGGGATGGAGCTACTGTTCGTGCTCAGGCAATGGAATGGCAAAATCTTGTTACTGTCACAGCTAAAGAAACCCTTGCACGGCAAACAGGGGTCCGATGGACACCAATGCATAATTTTCCATACTGGAATCCTGCCAAATATGTTGTACTTGGTTTCATGCATAATTTCCTGGAAGGCATTCTTGCCTTCCAACTCAGGGCTCTATGGGGTATTGGACACACCAAGGAAATGCTGAAGAGTATTACACAGATTCTTGATGATGAAAGTTCCTCAAGTATTGACACTGATGAATTGGTTCAAGAATCTCAGGATCTGGAAATTGAGGCTGAACATGCTAGTCAGCATGAAAGTGCTACTGGGCTGACTGAAAATTTTGATCATATGGATGTGGATGATGAAGGAGGAGAGGTGGATGATGAACGTGAGCCAACCCCCATGCCACAACTATTTATACCTCTTGATGATGAAGGAGATGAAATAGATGAAGATTTTGTACCATTGGATGTAGAAACAGCTTTTGACTTCACCCCTGAACAACTCAGTAATATACGGAATTGTATACTTCATGTCTTGCTTCCTGCTTCAAGTGACCGCCCACCCCCAAACCTTGGAGAAGCTAGCCATGGTAAACTCAAAGCACATGAATTACTTGTATTGTTTACTGTCATTCTGCCCCTTATTATTCCGGAACTATGGTGGAAAGGCAATGAAGTAGAAACAAAAAGACTTCAGAGCTTCTGTGACCTAGTAACATCTACCAATATAATTTCTGCATACTCAACTTCGAATGTAGATGCTGACAAATATATGTATCATTATGTCAAATATCGGGCCTCCATACAAGATTTACATCCTGGATTCAAATCTATGCCAAATCATCACTATGCAATGCATGGTGGAGATCAATTGAAATTCTGGGGACCATTGTCATTGCTCAGTGAGTTTCCAGGAGAAAGAATGAATGGTGATTTTGGACAAATTAAAACCAACAAGCATTTAGGTAAGTTCCTTTCATACACTATACACTAGGGAAAATTATGTTTCTTACTTCAAGTTACATTATAGGTGATATGGAATTTACAATGGTTCACAAGTCAGCCTGCAAAGGAAGGTTAGAAGCAAGTCTTCATGATAACCAGTATACAAATCCTGCAACACAAAAATTAGCTGAAATTTTGGAGCCCAAAGATGTCTTTGCATTTATGCACAATCCAGAGACTATGACTGGACAGCAGATTGCTAAGGCTCTGGCTGATGGAACAGTTTTGAGCAAAGATCATTATGCTATCCTTCTGAAATACCTGAATAACTCAAGAAGGGAATACAAATCCGCTTACACAAATTCCCGCTATCCACTGGGGACTTTGATTCTTCCAACAATGGCACAAAATCACACCCAGATTCCATTTAATAATAGTACCTACAGTTGTTACAAGTCTCATGAGGGGCAGAGTCACATTCAGTTCTATATTCCAGGTGGCTATGGAGGTGCTTGGGAAACTGGATATATTGAGACCATCTGGGAGCTCCCCCTTGAAGGTGTAAAGCACACTTTTCTGCTGGTGCGAAAGCACCAACCTCTTTCTCCAGCTCAAAATAGTAAAAGTCCTTATTATCATCACCCTTGCTCCCTTTTGAATGCAAAGCTAGTGAGAGACACACCTTCTGATCACATCTATATTCTTGAGCCCCGGCATATAATCACTCATCTTACAGTATATAAAAGACCAAAAGGAACCTATGGTATTAATTCATCAGATATGTTGGCTATCTGCTGGGCCTTGAACAGAGGGCGTAGGTAAAATATTTGGGGACTTGCATAAGATGAACATATTATAATGAGTACATAGTCCATTCACAATACTTATTTGATTATACTCTGAAGAAAGTGAATTTATAACATTGTAGCACACATTGGAATACTTATACAAACTCAACACAGCAATCAAATAAATCAATGTCTACAAAACTTGTATGTTTGCCAGAGTAAGGTTACAGTAGTGCTTTCCAGCACTCAATGCACTAAATGCAAAATCAGAAAATACAGGACTCAGGTTTTGCAGATTAAGGTTTTCCACCAAATGACTATGAAAAATAGATGTTGGGATATATGTACAATAAGGACAAACTTCAGAATAAATGATAGTAGTATACCCAGCCACAGACTACAAGTATAATGAGGTTCTACACAACACAAAAAAGACTTGTAAACAATAATATTCAGTATATTCCCAAAGAAACAATGGCATTAGAAAAATTGATTAAAAATGATACTCACTTGTTAAGGCACTTCATACTGCCTCACCCTCATCCCCATCCTCATCCATAGCATCATCATTGTCCGAAGACATATCTGAATCAGACTGACCATTCTCCATTGCTTCCAACTCCTCCTTTGTTGGGAACTTATATAGCTTCCGGACTTCATTCCCATACTTCTTCATGAAACTATCCTCCGATAATAAGCCCCACTCAGCTACCTTCAACTTCTTTCGCTTCTCGAAAGGTGGTAAAGCAATATGTGCATCCACATAACGCTTCCGGATCTGGGCGGGAAGAGAGTTGAACTGCTCCGGCTGAAACCAGTCAAGAGCACAATTCTTCGGGAGCTTCCTGAAAATTGACTTCTTATTGTCCGGATGAGGTTTTCGTGTCTTTTTCTTGTAGGAATGTCGTTTCGATCCTGACAATTCAGCGACTGTGCGGATACCTTTGTCAATTTCGTGTGCAATGAAATGTGATGTATTTTCACTGCGAAGGTTCTTCACCAATATGTGAAGCGATCCATCGTCGGCATCTTCGTCTTCAGAGTTACACTCAGGCTCTGCAATCAAACTCTTGATTCGGTTATTGAAGCCTGAATCTTGAGCATACTTGATACGAGATTTCATAAGCTGAGAAAAATATTTAGATGAAGGACTCATGAATGAAGACAAAGAGTAGACCTTTTTCCGCCGCTTGTACATTACCCTTTTCACTGCATCAGAAGCTAGTCTTCCTTTCTCCCTCGACTTCTTCAGGATCAATTTCCTGAGATGTGAGTAGACGTAGTTCCGGTAGATCTGGCAGAGAAATGCTGTGTTATCGATATACTCTAAATTCGGCTCGAAGTATACATAGCCTCCGTTCTGTAGTCCAAGCTCAAAGCTTGAAATAGCAATGCTTTCTATAGCAAGGTTGTAGAATGATGTTGGTGAAGCACCAAGCACATCAGGACGCCACTTCGTGAGACCAAATGAGCTCAGAACACTGAATGTCATACGTAGACTATGGTCGCTAACTTGAGCAACTGCACTCGCAATGGTTCCAGGATCTAGCTGGCATGTTTTTCGAAGGGATACCACGGACTCGAGAGATTCACGAGAGAGAGAAACTTTGGGCTGATTCAAGACTTCATCAACTTGTTTATGACTAGAAAATCTAAGGAAAGGACACGCATGAGGAATTATAATCAAATGTTTTGGATTTCTGGCGCACCGTTTCATAAAGTTCGCAATATCAATATTGCTTGGAGTCTCGGGAGCGACACTTTCTGACAAGGAATTCCACAAAATGCGGATATGAATTTCAAATGCGCGCTGTATGATTGTTTCTTTCGTGAATTTCTTTCTTTGAACAATCAAAGAAAAACTCACCTTAAGCCCCCTCGCATCATCTGGAATATCACCACTTTTGATATGATACATATCACTTTTCCTCTTCTCTTTGCCTGTAGGTTTTGGGGTGGCCTTGTGAGAGCGACGCGACTTTTTGCTAGGGCCGGCAGATGATGTGTTGGTCTGGGTATTAGGTGATTTGAAGCGCCGGCGCTTTCGAGAAGATGATTCATTGTTTTGTGGAGGAGGTTCAAAGTTTGAGCTAGATGGAGGATCCGGCATTGGGCAAGAAGGTTCAAGAAAGGAAGAGAAAGTCAAAGGCACGTTCAATCGTACTTCGCCTCACTGCCGCATGTACAATCCTTTGTGTTTTCTCAAATACACGTTACTGCCATGATTCGAAAGTTTTCAAAGCCTTGACAGGCCACAGAAATGTTGAAAGATTTGTGGATATTTTCGGCTCTACTACAACAGTGTATCTACACCAAAAAGCTATGTGGAACATTTGACGTGTCTGCAAACATTTCGAGGGCATCATGGTACAAGAAGATCAACTGACCGTGTTAATCTGTGAGATCATTATCTATATCCACGTTGAAGTGCAACCGATTGTAGCGTGTACCAGCCAGTAGGTGCCCAACAAGGTACTCGAAAGGTGCCATTAAGGCACCTTCAGTTGTGGTGCCCATCAGTTTGCCCGCAGTGTGAGTAAGCAGTTTTGCCACGTCGAACAACGTGGCTTTGTGTCAACGTCCAAATTTCAACTTGAGTGCCACGTCAATGAGTTTGACTTCCAACCTCTCCGCACTTTCAGTCTTCCAGCCTCCACAATGACTCAAACTCAATTCTTTGTGCAATGCCCTTCAAATTTGAGTTCTCAAGTGTACATATGTCCATTGCAATCCAATTCTCGAACTTCAAGCACTCCAAAATACCTCTTGAACGCACTTCTGTTAGTGCTAAGTCCCTTCAATATTCCAAAACTTCAAAGTTCTTGCACTCGACATCAAGATCTTGTGACTTGTTCAAGCCCTGCCTTATGTTGTCCAATGTTCAACAATTCAAGTTCAATGTCCAGCAATTCAAGTTCAATGTTCAGCGATTCAAGTTTAATTTGTACTGACTCAACATCAGTGGGTGGATACAGATCATGATGCAACATTACTGCTGAACCTTGTGAGTGAGTCTGAGCGACGTTGCCCTTTTGCACTCGTCACCCTTGTCTGCATGTAATTCATATTATCATTCAACTTCACTCCGGTTCGCTTGTATATGTAAGAAATTCAATCAGTGACCAAAAAAGATATGCCGAGCGGTGCCGATTGTCCAGAGATACTAAAATGTACACCTACCAGGAGGCCGGAGGTAGGGTGATTTTGAGCAACATTTCAGCTCCCAGGAAGCCTCCGGGAAGCTTCAACTAGCAAATCTATGGATATCCACCATGGTACCTTCCTGGAACCTTCCACACCAATCGTGGTGTAGGTATCAGGCTGTGGCCGTATCCAGGCGTAATAGGGCATATCCTACTCACGCGAGTTCAGCATCCCCGTCAGGCATACTTGAATTGCTACCTGAGGATAAGTAAAAGCAGGTCGATGTCCCTTGATCCTTCAACCGCTGGTCAGTTCCCTCTCATCTTCATTCAAACCTTCCTGTCCTTTTGCTGGTCACAAGGATCACCAGAGATTTTGTTCTTTCACTCTCTATTGGTATCTTCATCTCCCCATCAATAAGCTCTTCCATTTGCGACTCGCTACTCACACACAATGCATATCGCTATTGTTTGGTGGTGTTACCTGACCTTGGCTGTTGTCTATGCCGCACCTAGGTTCGATGTGAGTTTCTAGAACAATTAATTCCCTCTCAATTTCTCGTCTGATGCATATATGAAAACAGCCAAATACTCCTGAGCTATCATCCCGCGCTTTTCCTTCTACACCCTCTGAGTCGATTGAGTTGCCTGGCCCTGAGAGAGGATTTAATTCCCCGCCTGTTCTTGGTGGGGGAACACCCCCAAAAAGCCCAGACTCTTCACTCTCCGGTGGAGGAGCACCCCAACCAAGCCCCCTTTTGCCTGCCTTCCAACGAAGAAGTCCCCCAAAACAAACTGGAGGGATAATGGAGGTGAAAGTCATGATACAAGATACTACTATGCCCAGAGTGTCAGGCTCAGACGCGAACACAGTGCAAGGCGCGGAAGTAGTCCTAAACGACGAAGATTGTATTCTGAGTAGGTACGAAGAAATATAAGAATCGTACCTAGATGACAAAGACGTCAACAATTAAGAGAGACTAATGGTACGTAAGTAGTGTGGGCGCTATGTATTGTGGTCATATCATGACACCATGCCCTTCCCCTTCAACGTCTCCCTCCTGCGAATGATAATATAAGGTATTTTGCGGAAAAAAAAGGTTTGGGAGTGAAGATTAAAAAAAAGCTATACTTAGTGTTTCCTCCTGCATTGTTTTTGTTTTCTTTTCGCCTCCTCGCCTGCCTCAAATTCTGCCAACAACTCGGGAGCATTAATGTCTATTTCTGAAACCCACTCGTTTTCGTACTCATCCATATCTTTCCATTTCAAATAGTACTCTTTCACTCCATCTGATCCCACACGCATCTTCAATATTTGTTCGACCTCTTGCTCCTCTGTCCCGTCCTCGTACAGGAAAACTGGGGGTGGTGGTGGTTGAATACAACCAATGATGGTGTCTTTATTGACCAGAATCATACTGGAGACATGGAACACATCGTGAACATGCCAGTGACTGGGAATGCGGATTTTGTAGGCAGAGTCCGAGATCTTTTCTTGAATAGTGTATGGGCCATAGCGTTTGTGGTCCAACTTGTGGGATGGGCGTAGGGAGTGCAGGTCCATACGTTCTAGGAAAACCTTATCACCAGGTTGGTACTGCGGCGCATCCTCCTTCCATTCGTCATAGAAACACTTCATCCGTTTGGCTGCTATTTCCAGCATGGATTGGATGTTGCGTTGTACTTGATGTATCTGATCTAGATGATTGTCTGCTTTTGGGACTCGCTGGTTGGAAACCGGATCAATGGAGAATGTTGGATGGTATCCATATTCCGCAAAGAATGGGGTAGTTCCGATTGCTGTGTGGTGACGATTACTTTGGGCAAATTTGTCACGAAGCAGCAGAGGCGGAGTGATTAGCGGAGCAGGAAAGCGGAGTTACTAAGCAAGGCAGCAAGGCGGAGTGACTAAGCAGGTCAGTGAGGCAGAGCGACTAAGCGGAGCAGAGGCAAACTGGTCCCAGATAATGACAGAGGTATATTGAGTATCGTAGTCATAGGTAATAATAAGTAAGCACATACCTGGTCCCAGATAATGACAGAGAGGTCAAGATAAGGGACCAGGCTGTGGAGGGTTGGCTATATATACATAATCCGGTCTGCGAGAAACAACAATGTAATACTGTACAGTTTAGGAACAAGGAAGGTGGCGGAAGCCAGTAGAAAGAGAAGATGGGTCAGGTGGATCAGTAATCAATGGATCAGTAATCGATGGGGGTTTGACAGTGATGGGATGATGTATCGTACAAGTAAAGGCGTCGAGACGGTGAGAAAAGGAAAATGATAGGGGCTGCGTACTTTATGACATTACCCCCCTCCTTATGACCATTGCCCTCGATGGTCAAGGCTTTGCTGCTGTTGGGTGTTTTTTATGAAAGGCCCGAACAATTTTTGGTGCTCGACTGAGGTTGGCTGCGGGTTCCCAGGAGTTGTGCCCTGCGTTGTAACCTTTCCACTTAACCAAATATTCCAACTTCTTCCATCGAACCCGGCTGTCTAAGATCTCCTCTACTTCGTATTCCGGTTCATCTTCATCCTCTAAGTATACCGGCTCTGGTGGTGTTGGTATTTTGCCATTAATGGAGTTACCTTTCCAGGGGTATAGTTTGTCAACATGGAAGACAGGATGGAGGCGATCTAGGGATAGGGGGAGGTCAAGGCGGTAGTCTAAAGGGCCAATTTTCTCCAGAATGCGATAAGGGCCAAGCTGTCGATCTCCTAACTTTTCACTGGAAAGCTGAAGATTAATGTCCTCTGCACTGAGCCAGACTAGGTCTCCAACTTTAAATTGATGAGCTTTCCGCTTCCCGTGTTCGTATCCTTCCTTCTGTTATTTCTTTCCTAGGTGTAAGGCAGCCCCGGCATCTTGTCGCGCTTCTCGGAGAATCCGTATACGGTCATCCACATCTGGAATACCGCTGCGTTGGCCCACTGGGATATTGAACAAGGGAAGATAGCCGTAGGTTAGCTCGAACGGGGACATGCCTAGAGCAGAATGGGTTCGTGAGTTAATCACAAACTCCGCCATGGGAAGGTGCTCTGCCCAGTCGTCTTGTCGTCGTCCCACATAGAGGCGGATGTATTTCTCTACTTCCTGATTTGCTTGTTTGGTTTGGCCATTGGACTGAGGGCGGTATCCGGAGGTTAGATCTGATTTAATTCCTAGCCTAGCGAGAAGGGATCGCATGAGTTTAGCTGCAAACTGGGGTCCGCGGTCGGATTTAAAGTGAAGAGGAAGACCATGGAGACGGAAGATCTCTCGGTAGTAGATATCGGCAACGCCTTCGGCTGTGATGGAGCTGGTGCAAGGAATAGCGTGAATTTGTTTTCCATACAGGTCTGTGCAGACCAAGACAGCATCGTAGCCTTGGGAGTTAGGTAGCTGTGTTATCAGGTCAACCCCTACCTCTTCCCATAGACCAGATGGTACATCTAATGGTTGTGTTACGGCCCGTGGGTGTCGTTGGATCTTCTTACGGGCACAAACCTCACATCCTTCAATGTATTTTTCCACGAAAGAGCGCAGCGTGGGCCACCAGAAATGGGTACTGACCAAGTCGAGTGTCCCGTGTAGTCCGGGGTGTCCTGCAGTTGGATGGTCATGGCATTGACGGAGTACCTCAGTGCGTAGGTCGTCATTTGCTGGTACGTATACCCGACCTCGGTAGTAGACCAACCCATTGTCCTCTTCCCATTCGGCTATCCCATTGGCCAAGTGCTGTAGTCCGTGCTCTTTGACTGTTTTGAGACCCTCCAATACCTGTGCTTCCCGTTCTGAGGCTTTCTGGATACGATCCTCTAAGGGGTTCCGTAGGATCGAAGCTGCAATTTTTACGAAGTGGCCAGGTTTAAGGACTGTCTGTTGCCGGTTATCATCACTGTCCGATACATGATGAACTGCCATGCGGGAGAGAGCATCAGCTTGGGTGTTTACTCTGCCAGGGCGGTGGATCATATGAAAGTCAAACCGTGACAGATAGAGGGCCCATCGGGCTTGTCGGCGGGTGAGGTCTTGTGCAGTGTGCCAGAATTCGAGGTTTGAATGGTCCGTTGACACGCCTAAATTTTGGCTAGACGTCTATGCTGTGAATTGTGACATTTTCACGTATAGATTTGTATCAAGAGGACTGTAATTGAGACCCAGATTGACAGTCAAAGTCGATACTGAATCAGTCTAATAAGTTGAAGGGACCATATACCCATACTACCACAAGTTGGTTAGTTTACCCATCCCTGATACTACCTACGGATAGCAGTCTACCTGTTTGTCGAGCAGGATTATACCAGACTCGGACTACATCCGAAGGATGACCATTCACGTATGACATACCAAGGGTATTCTTATTGGACCTTACACTGGCAGGAGTTTGGAAGAACTTACTCAAGTGACCATGAACCGAGGATTGACTCGAAATGACTTTCTAGAACTCAGGAATTATCAAATACTCCTTCTAGAATGAGATCATGCATTAATCTAAAAAAGACTGCGATTTAGTCTAATAGACCAATCAAGTTGCATGGTTGAGTAAAATGACTAGAAGAACGATCGGAAGACTGCGAGGCTCCGAAGACATATCAAATGAATGTCAAAGAGTCCTGACATAGAAAATATTGAAGAATGCAATTAAATGAATACTATGCGTAACTCCCTTGATTGAGTATAGGCACAATGGGTGTCTATTGAAAGAGAGAAGCAATTAGTTTAATCCAGATGAATCAGATTGATAGGATTAGGATCGAGGAGAGCTGATTTGCCTCCGGATGAGGTGACAAACGATCGAAGTAAGTGTTGAACAGCAATGACAGTTGAACACTATTCGAGTCATCCTCCAAAAACAATTAAATTAAATGAATATTGAAGTACCTACCTATGTTTGGAGGTATACTAGAATCTTGGAACTAATATGGACCAAATAAGGACATGTAGATTCAAATTAAATGGTATCTGACTGAGTGTAGAAGTTTCCTTGCGGTTCCGAACGTTTATTGTATTAAATTAATTGTACTATGCAACTCTATATTCTGTATGTATAAATAGCGATCCGATGTATCTGGAATGAAAGGGATTTTGGGACGACGTTGCAGTGCTAATCTGTAAAAAGGAAAGACACACTCCCGCCAGACTGAAACCTCTTCGCTAGCAGCCATTCGGGCCCGGCACTTGTGAGTATAGGAACGTCGTGTTCTGCTCCTTGTGACTGCGAGAAGTCTATCCAGTTGTTGGGTATTCTTCGAACTTAGGATCAGTCGTTGGTCTTAAGGGCAAATCACGCTGTGTGGTTGTGCCAGCACATAGTTCTAGCCCTCCGTAGGGGTCTGTGTGTTTCGGTTTTAATTTACTTTGATTCAAACCCCCAATTCTTGATATACCCAGATCAATACAAACCAAAGCACAAATCGTGCTGAATCTACCTTGATCAAAGGAATATATCGAACCCTTAGAACAATTCAAATTGATTGATCAAAGCTTCTTACTTAGCTCTCAAAGCTTTGCGGAACCTTTGCCAACGCTACCCCTTGCTATTAAATAAATTTGATAGCAGTGAACTCGCATATTGTGTATTAGATTGGTTGGTTGGAGTGCCCATTAGATTCCTTCCTTTCTCTTTCACACAAAAACGAGGCAAGCTCGTTATCTGGAGCCCACCGCGAGGGGTGGTTTTGAAGCTACAATTAGCTTGATAAATTAAATTGAATGTTTGTTTGGATTATATTCGATTATTTGGTAGAAGTGTGTTGATCTTTGTGATACCATTTCTGTGAGCTGTCAAAATTAGTTCATCAGGAAAACCGCGTACTTCGAAGAATTCGGAGAAAGCAGGAGTATTGACACCGGAAGAATATCGTAAAGCAGGAGTTGTATTTGGGAGATCTACGTTCGGCACATCAGCTCGAACATCCCTATTAAACCCTACGAACGAATCCAGTCGTCCATCCT